CAGCAAGGGGTCAAAAAGTGGAGACGAAATCAAATGACAGAAGATGGTTAGAGTGAGCAGAAAAATAGGTCAAAGGAGAACATTTAGAGAAGAAACACTTTATGAGAGCCCCCTTAATTTAGTCATTGCCCTTTGGTGTGGAGGATGGTACATACTTCTGGAGTCATGCTCAAGGCAGTACAGATGAGGATGGAAAAGAAAACCTTGAACATGAACAGTATTGGTTCCAGAACACAGCCTTATTTTATTCCACTCTTGATCTCAAAGCAGTCATAAAACTTAAACAGCCATCAATTGGATTGTTGGCATTCATTCCTCATGGAATGATACAACCTCTCATTTTGGGGCTGTTAAAAAAATATAGAGACTATATGATATGATCGGGGTTTTGACTTTTGTTGAATCGTTGTTGGTGGTGAATGATTTGATTCACTTCTGTGGGTGGTTGGCAGGTGCTCTGGTGTGGTTTGGCTTCTTCTTTCCTATCAAACATCTATCGTCTTTATCACCCCTCCTTCTTTTTTGTGCTTGATTTTCTTGTAACACCTCTAATCTTCAGCACTTTTATGACCTTATTGATATTGTGTTGCAAGTGCCATAAAACACTTACTAAAAAAAAAAAAGATTCGCTTCGTTTCTCTCCAATGAGAGAAGGCTTATAATTTTTTAAATAATAACTGATTACCACGAAACCACTTTTAAATGCATACATGCATACTATTCTGGAAAGCTGACTGCTACAACTACTAAACATAGCCTAAAGCCTAGCGAATGTTTTATACTTTGCAATCAAAAGCAAAATAAAAAGAATAGATTTAGATCTAGATCTATTTTTGGTATAAAAAAAGCAATGATCTTGGCAGTGGAGATTATTGCAAAATGCACTTCCTTTACACCGCGGCGACCACAATACAAATACAACAATCGGGGGGAAACAATGGGCGCAGATTTGACATCACACCAAGAGATAACAAGGGTTATAAATAGAAATTAGGTGTAGATCTATAGCCTAGATCTAGATCTATCTGTTTATATATATATATATATGGAAATGGTTTTGTGACCTAGCATAGGAATGAAGTTACACTGGAGAGGAACAGACTCAAGACTCGACTCAAGGCTTTCTAAAACTGATCAAAGCCTGCCAGTGATAGCCTAAGTGATGGGAAACTTTCAGGTCAAGAAGAAAGTTGATCCTCAGCATATAATAATTCAAGGTATTGTTGTTGTTTTTCTTTGTTTATAGTTTAAGAAAGAAGGCAGAAAAATGTCTTCTCTTTGAAATTATGAAATTAAATGGTATTTTGATCTACACCTGTACCCACACACCACACACTCACACATACACACACACACACACATACACCACACACCATACATACCGTACAACATAATAAACACATACACACACATAAACACATGCACAGTCACACATGTGTACACACACAAACAAATCTTAATCGCATGATGTGATGATGTAGCTGTAGAGTTGTCAGAAAGTGAGAACAAAAAGCAGTGTCTGTAGCACACATAGTGGCTGAGACATTTTCCCTCCATCCTCTGGGAGAGACTTTTGAAGGTAGCCTACACGTGGCTCAATCTACCAGCTCCCAAAGCTGACTGTGATAGTGATGATAGTCTATCTTCAGACTCAGAACAGGACACACAGGCTGAAGCATCACATGTTCTCCCAATTCAAGATCAGGGATGGACCCAACTTACTGTCCTTGGGGTGCCAACTACCACGATCGATGCACAGCATAATATTCTCCAGGACTGCCCACAACTGGATACAGCAAGACAAAAATACTGGCCTCAACCCAGGGACATGCACCAGAAGCTGTATGGCAGCTCTCTCTGGGATCAATCACTGCAGAGTTCATCAACACATCAGCCCTCACCATCTATTTTTCCTTGAAGAACAAAGAAGAAGAAGCTTCATGAGACGGTATGAATTGAGCTCCTATACTCAGCACAATGTATTATTTTTGCTGAAGCAGAGATATGATGAGGAGAGACCACTAGAGAGGAGGGATTCACACAATCAGTAATTATGGGTCAATCTTAGTGCTCACTATTCACATACATATGATATGTGCTGTTTTTTAATCATTAATTTTTCTTGATTTTTTTGTCACACAATTTAATCATTGCAAGAACGGTTGTGCTGTTAGAGGACATGGTTGCTGTAAGATAGGTTAATTTGTATTGGCACTGGAAAATTTCATTTGGTCATGGTTGCTGTTATATATATGGAGGTTGCACTAATCTGGGTTACTGTTAAGTGGACAAGTTGAACTATTGAAAGGCTAGCTGAGGCTCTTCTTCTTTTTTCTTCTTTTTCACTGCTAAATCTCAGGGGTAGTTGACTCCGGGTTGCCTTTCGGCCCCATGTATTTCGATTTCAAAGGCACTATCTATATTTTTCTATACTGACTGGAGTACAATTTTCAGTTTTGGGAGGAATTGATCTGAATGTTGCGCAGGTAGTGACTGGAGCCTATTCTTACTGATTTTAGAACACCCAAGGGATCTCTTTAACATGTGCAACTTGCACATGGGACCTTGAGGATTTTTCACCCTTATAATCTAAGAAGGCGAGAAGTTCCAGTCTAATTAAAATTTACCCTAAGATCAGGGGTGTAGCTGAGAGACAGCAGTAAGAATGAGCTTAGAGCAACAGTTGAGTCAAAATTAAGGGAGAAAAGAGCAGAGAGGGGACCCGGAATGGGGGGGGAGGGGGGGTGACTGGGTGGAGAGAAAGGCAGATGACAGAACAGGACAAGAGAACAAGAAAGGGGCACATTATAACAGAAAATTTTTCTGTGGCTGTCAGGATTTTGTCCTAGGATCTTTTTAATGAGAGGTGAACACCATACGTCTTGACCACAAAAGACCCCCACTAACTGAGGCGATGATAAAGATTTTCCCAGATGTTTTATATTACCTGGTAATGAAGACCTGGTATTGAATTTTTTTTAATGTCCTCATATATGGTCGCTTTTAAGGACAAGTGGGCTAACCCAAATTTCGGGGGGTTCCAGAAATCTTGACCTTCCCCAAAAGTGGGCTTTGCTCTTCTTATGGAGAAGTTTGGTTTCATTGGTGTATATATATTTGTTTGATTATATAGAGAAAACTCTCCTTGTCTTTTAAAGAAACTGAACAGGGGACAAAAATCTTTACTTTCAATTTTCTCAAAACAGCATTTTTCCGGATATCCCCTTTGTGCTTAAAAGCGACCATATTTCTTTTGATGGACACAAATATTTACTTTTGCTATTTGTATTCCATATTATGTTAGGGCCTCTCGTCGTTCAGGATTCGAATACAGATAACGACTGTAAATTTTCTTCACTAAAATTGTCTCTTTTCACCTCCTTTACTGCTCGCTAACAATATTCTGTTGTCTGCTTTCATCTCCACTTTCTACCCCTACCCCCTCTCCTCCTTTGCCCCCTCCTCTGGGCTCCCAACTCTTTCTGCAGCCTTTCTGCTGCTACTCCTTGGCTCCTTCTTGCTACTGTCTTTCAGAGACACCCCTGATCTTATGGTAGGAAAGATCTACACCTAGCCTTCTTGGAATAGGACAAAAAAATCTCAGGGGTCCCATGTGCATGTTGCTCACATTAAAGATCCCTTGGTGGTCCTAAAATGGATGAGAGTATGCTTCAGCCGTTACCCGGGCAAAATTAAAAAAATTCCTGCCAACTGAAAATGTTTAATGTGTCCAGCGTGCTCATATGACCTTATGCAGTTGCGAACACCGTAAAACTTTTACCCCCCCCCCAAAAAAAAAGCACCTTATGTGTCACGACATGGTGGAACCAGGCGCTCGTCAGTTTTTGGGTATGTGGTATTATTAAATAGATATCGTCTTGAAACTTGTTTATTTGTCTTGCTTTTAATGGAAAGAAAATCCCTGTTTTCACCACACTGCCTCGCATATATCGAATAAATGCTACAACAGGTTCTAACGTAAGATTATCAGAAACTGAGAAAAATGTCTCCGAGACCAAAGTGAAAAAATATGATTCATTGTAGTTGAGGTCGACTTGTTTCACTTTAGTTTTCTGTACACTGTTATATTTTTCTGCACCATAATATAGAAAGTTCAATCTCCAGCAGTCTCAACATTCTCATGGAGTATTTGGCTGCTCTGGTGAGATTTGCTCCTTTTTTCCTGTCAAACATCTGTGGTCGTTATCTTTCCTCCTTTTTGTCTTTGTATGTTACTCTCTAGTAATACCTCTAATCGTTGGCACTTATATGACCCTCTATTTGTGTTGCAAGTGCTGTAAAACTCTAACTAAAATTGAACTAAGACTAAAGATTTGCAACCGAAATAAAGTTACTTAAAATAAGAACATCAATTTTAATGTATAGTTGACAAGTTTTTCCTTCTTTTCCCTGTACCGCAGGTCTGGACGCGGCCGGAAAGAGCACACTTTTGTACAATCTCAGATATGGTGAAATCAACTCCAGCTACGCCATAATTGGTCAGTACTTCTCTTACGTACTTGCTTGCTTGTCTTCCCATATAGTGCATATGTCTAAGATACAATACATACGGGTAGTTCCTACTTCTTTTTTGTCCTCCCTCTGTTTAAATTTAGTTGGTCTATTTTGTTTTTCCTTGTTTTGCTAACTGCCTGTTGTTTTGTTGATGTGCTTCTATGTACTCAAACAATGAACAACACCAATACTACAGCCCTCCACCTATACTATTTCTATTACCTACTGTCTGTTCCGTCTCTCATAATTTATGTTGAAATTACCCTTCTTATGTGTTTCTGAACTGTCTTGAGGGTTGAGTTTGGTGTAAATTTTCATTCAGACTGTTTTGAATAAAACATCATTTCATGCATTTCATTGACTTTGTGTTACAGTAAAGTCTACGAATCTCGAACACGAAAATCACGAATTCTCGGGTATCTTGAACATAATGCTCAGTCCCAGTTTTCAGTACCTATGTTTTCTTTGTATTGACTTCACAGAGTTCCAGAACATGCAGCACTTGAATCTCAAACAAATCCATTTCGCCTTCTCAACTAAAGACCCAGTTTTACAGCCTTTCAGGCTGCGGGTAGGCGTTTCTTCGTTATTGTTACAGCCAAACCGTGGTCCTTGTCTCACCTCGAGAGGCTGGAGGAAGGGGAAAGGGGGTTGGGGAGTGATCTTATCTGCACCGCATGACTGGCTCACCACGCATGCATTCATGCTGAGGGATGCACGCGATACGGATGGCAAGAGGAGTAACTTTCTGTAAGCCTATGAAATGAGAGGAAAGGAATGATATAATAGAAGTCAACTGTGCACACGAGAGATTTTCTGCTTTCCACTTTCTTTCATCTTCTTGCTTTCACACCGTCAACACATTCATCAAGGGAGTAAAACATGTTAACTGTTTTAATGTTTGTTTTTACCTCCCTTGATTTTCTCTCTATTTCTTCGTATCTGGGGCTTTCACAGACATGACGAATTACAGAATCTCAAACACTATTTCCAATCCCTGACGAATTCGAGTTACCCGTGTTTGACTGTATATACAGTGCAGCCTCTCTATAACAACTTTCGTTCTAACGACATGCTCTGAATAAAGAGCGACATGGTGCCCAGATTCCTATTTTTTCCTTATAATTATATGTCAGTAGTAATTTTTGGTTGCCTCTCTATAATGATACCGTAACTCTCTAAAAGGACATCTTTTTCTGGTCCCGACGTTGTCGTTATAGAGAGGCTGCACTGTAGGTTATAAAGGATTATTTCATTTTCAATAATGGCTCGTGTTAATCATCTATCTAATAAAAAAAGTTTCATACTTCTCAGTGGTCTGGTGGTTAAGCTTTGAATTCTCAGGTGTAAGGTTGTGGGTTTGAATTCCATCCGGAGCCCGCCATTTTGTTAGTGGGAAAGGATTTTACATGAATTTTCCTCACTTCATCCAGGTGGGAATGGGTATCCATCTTTAGACTAAGAAAGATCTTTTCAGTTTGTTAGCACTTGAGCGCTTAATCGGCTGCTTGCACTGTAATTTTAAAAAAATTTTTGGGGGGTAAGTGTTTTGCGGTGCTCGCAACTGCATAAAGTCATATATGAATGGGCAGGACACATTAAACTTTTTCAGTTTATAGGAAATTTTGAATTTTGCGCGGGTGGCGGCCGAAGCCTAGATCTACTCTTATTGATTTTAGACCACCAAGGGATCTTTAACGTGCGCTACTTGCACACACGCCCTCGGACATTTTTCGCCCTTGTCCGTGAAGCCTAGGTGTAGATTTTAAATACCAGAAGATCAGGGGTGTGGCTGAAAGACAGCAGTAAGAAGGAGCCAAGGAGTAGCAGTAGAAAGGCTGCAGAAAGAGTCCGGAGCCTAGAGGAGGGGGCAAAGGAGGTGAGGGGATGGGGGCAGAAAAAGGAGACGAAAGCAGACAACAGAACATTGCTAGAGAACAAGAAAGGAGATAAAAGGAGACAATTTTAGAGAACACATTTTTGGGTCTCTACCTGGATTCGAACTCGGGACCTTTGAATGAGAGGCCCACACCCAGGAAATCAAGAATGTTTCTCAGTATTCTAGTGTCTGCTGGAGTAATAATCGTTGTAAAGTGCACAGAGCATAATAGTATTGATATATTTTCCAATATGTTTTGTCTCAATTGTGGAGGAAATGAGGCACCCCTGCTATTCTAACATTTTGAGTATGGCATGACTTTCTTATATTTCAGACTTTTAAAGTATGATCTTTGCAAAGTCATATTTTTTTAGGATGCAGTGCACTTCAACTGAGCTGCAAGAAGCAGATGGAACAGAAATGTAAAAAGAAATGTTTATGTTTTCCTGTTTGTTGGTCTTAATCTAGAATTAAATACAACTTGGAAAAATAACCCACATTTTTGTTGCTGCACCACTGTTTAGCATACAAGACAGACTTAACTGGCATAATAATTAAATCATAATATGTACCTGGAAATAATTTCTACCATGTGCTTCTTATCTTACAACCAGGCTTTCCAATAGAAACTCTGTCCTTCAAAGGAATTGACATTACAAGCTGGGATATAAGCGGTCGGTGTGCACATGTAAGTAATTACAATGAAATGTATCCTAAGCCCTTGTTCAAAAGAAAGTTGCTTGTACAAGATTAGATCTAGCTCTATCTGTGATCTGGAGCTCAGAAAACTTGAGATACATGAATGCTAAAGCATGGTGTTCACTGCTTAGAAGACTCTTAAAAACCAAGTATGAAACATTATTAGCGCCATAGAGCTTATCAATCAGAACTCTTCCTTTTCAATAGGACCGATGGTCTTGCCTAGTCTTGTTATCATAGTCACTTTGTACGCAGTGTTGTAATTTAGTTTCTTGTACCAGCGATATTCTGTTCAGATTAACCTAATGGAAGCAGAACAAATTTGATCTTTTCAATTTTGGAAACTATTTCAACAGCCTAGCTTTGCCTTATAAAACAAAAAAGACTTAAGAAGATCTCTGTGTGAGCATCTATATAACACTGCAAAACTTTTGTTTTTGTTTCTGTAAATGAAGAGTGTACTGTTCACTTTTTTACTGATTAATTGGCCTAGCCACAACTATTGTCTGCCCTCAATTATGGCTACATCTCCTTTACCAGAATCGGCCTCTTTTAGATTACTACTACCGGACTGCCACTGGCTTTGTGTTTGTTGTGAACAGTGCTGACCTTGAGATGATGGATGAAGCTTTTGATCAGTTTGACAGTTATATTCTGCAGGTGAGAAGTAATGTGTGTGTTATTTTAATTGCAGTAAGAGGCCATAAGTACTCTCATATTATCTTATGACAGGACTGTGTATACCCTAAATTTGACAATATGATGAGAGAGAGAGAGAGAGCAAGAGAGAGAGAGAGAGAGAGAGAGAGAGAAAGAGAGAGAGAGAAAGAGAGAGAGAGAGAGAGAGAGAGAGAGAGAAAGTAAAATAGAGAGACAGAACAAGGAAAAGAAGAAGAGATAGATTGTGTTTGTGTTGAAATAATGCTATAATTAAATTCAGATTAAGCGTCGCAGAAGCTGGTGACAGCACACTGTTTATTTCTTCCATTCGACGATCAGTCAAGGTTTTGCTAATTCATTTTGCTTTATTTCACATATTATTGTGGAAGTACAGTTGTTACCTGTTTGTTATTTCTTGATTCAGAGGCATTATATCAGGGACATGTCAGTTAAAATCATGTATGAGCTGTCAAACTTTCTTTTTGTGGGTGAAAGGCAAGCACCCAATCCTTACACAAAAAAGGATGATCTAGTGCAAAATTTGAAAGTTCATTTCAGAGTTGTGACGTCCTGACATGTGATAGATAATACCCTTCTGTATTCTGTTTTGTTAAAAATTTCTGAGACAATTGAGAGGAAAGTATGAAATAATACCTCTTCTGGACGTAAGGTATTTTATTGAGTATCTCTACCTTTCTGCCTGGGATATTTCCTGTACTTCTCTGGTTTTTCCCTTACAGAAAGAGTCAAAGCATAGGTCTTTGAAATGATCAAAATAGTGTCAGTTGAGACATGAAAAACTTTGCACTTTTTGTGCTGGGGTCATCGAACAGTCTTTAACTTCTGGGCAAGAGTGATTTGATCTAATTCTTTACCAAGGTTTGTTTGGGTTCACGTGAAAATTAATGCTTTATTCGGGTTGTCCGAATGAAACTATTGTATGTGGAAATTGAGCTTCACATGATTAGATGTGAGATTGTCAGGGAGCAAACCAATTGCCCTTATCCAGAGAATATATATATATATGAAGAAGCTTTGCACAAAATTTGTATCTTCCTGAGCAATTCAAGAAACCTTGTATTTTTATTTACTGTAGAGATTTGTTTGTGCCTTTGAATATAAGGAAGATGTATGTCATTGATTGAACCTAATGTCTAATTGTCCGGCTGATTTAAATTCATTTGTCCTTTTGATTGCTGAACACAGTCTTGTCAAAGTCCGATAGAGTGATAGTCTATTCAGCGGGATATGCCTTTGTGAAAACACCTTACAGTCAGGATCAGGAAAAAAGTCAATGTTTGTCTATCCCTGTGTGTTTCAGAAAGAGGAAACGAAAGGAAGAGTGGTGATGATTCTGGCAAATAAACAAGACTTACCCCGTGCTCTGAAATGTGAGGAGCTGGAAAAGAAATTCAGGGAGAGGTTCCCTGACACTCCGGACCGCAGTAAGTTGGTATACACTAACATTTAAAAGAAATATGAAGAAATAATATATGCCTCAACATGCAGAAACATTCAACTGTATGCAGAAATGCATCAACATAAACATGAATTCTGCACTGTAAAGAAACAGGAAAGGAAGTGCACTACTTGAAGTACAGACAAGGCTCACCGTGTCTTTTTTTATTCCTTTACTTGCATTTTTTTGGGGGGGGTGTTTGTAATTATGGTAAGGAAAACAACACAGTCTAAAGCAGATGCCAGCCCTGTTGTCCATCATAGATAAATAAGGAGCGGAAATTTTTTTTCCCTCATTTCTCATGTCTTTTGTTTTTGCAAATGGGCTCTTTCTGAATAAGGAACACTTTGCCAAGGGAAAAAAAGACACAGAAAAGGCGTTTAACAAAACAGCATTAGCAAGTAATTTATTCTTATTTGCTTTAGAGGTTTTTAAAAATATTTTTGTCATCAACCCTCTTATCCATCTCTTTAGAAAAGTCTGAGTTCCTCAGGGAACTAGAAAAAAAAAAAAAATGGAATGAAAACTTAGTTGGATGGCTTTTCAGGTTTGAACATAACAATATTAGGCTATTTTGAGTTTGTGCAATTGCTTCTAGAATGTGATTTTGTCTCTTCTAAAACAGTTGTAGGCATTTTACACCCCCTTCAACATAATTAAGATCATTTAGGAGGTAGGCTGCTTCGACCCTGCCTGTCATTGCTGATCCAGGATGAGAGCGATACAATATCACGGTAGAAAGACAGAGTTACTGGACAAAATTTCTCCCCACTCAGTAATCAAATTCACGTTTTTTTAACAACAGTGCAACAGTAATGTGCCTAACCACTAAGCTACAGTTGCCATTAATTCTTTTCATATTTACCACAAATATATGTTTTTGTGTCCATAATATGTTACATGCATAGTTTGCATATATGCTTTGGCTGCTTTTCAAGCAGACACCTGAGTGTTAGCAAAATTTCCCCACCCGGATTTTAAATCTATATCAGTCTTTATATTAACATTTCCTTTCATTGACCTATTACTTCAATGCCAAACACTGTCTCTATTGGTCTCCCCACAGAGATTTTCTTCCAACCTTGCATTGCATACACGGGAGAAGGTATCCGTGAGGCCTTTGACATTTTTACCACTGAACTAAAGCTCAACCAAGCAACCTCTAACATTAACATGAAAAGTTCTGTTGAAGGAGGAGATGTGGCTGAGAGTCCAAAGGAGAATTCCATGAAGTTGCTCTTCAAAAAACCCATGAGTTTCGTGAAGTCTGTGCTAATGTATTGAATGATTAAAATACATCCATCTAAACTGTATCTAGTTGTACTTTGAATTTTGTCAATAAATATGAGATTACTTGTGCTGTCAGTAACTTTAAAAATGTTTGCCGAGGAAAAAATTGTCAGATTCTGGACCCTTTCAACATACCATTAAAACAGAAACTATAACTTTAGAGTTTTTGCGGGGCGTGACTACTTTCTTTGATCTTTCAAAAAATGTGATGTTTATAATATTATGATATATAAAACACTTTATACAAAAGTCATTTGAATATGAATTATGTTCTTTCTGGCTCTCTGAAAGTCTTTGTCTAGTTGTCTTTTTGACAGAATTTCTTTTTATTTGTCTACTTCTCTTGGGCAGGCATGCATATGCTCAAATACATACACATAGGCAAACCATCGTTCAGACATCCCTTTCACTATGTGTCTGCATCAATATCTTTACTCTGATATTTCCTGTATTCTTGAGCCAAATTGTCTTTGCGATGATTTCGTCGGAGATATTCATCATGTTTTGTGAATGAATCAGAAGTAATTAGTCATAGTTTTGCTGTTTGTCTTGTCTTGTGTAGTTATCTTTATCTCTAAACAATGCTTTTCTAACTTCATCCCACCTCTCCCTTCTTTTTCATTTCACTGTTCTTCTGCGAAACAGCATTTATTTTTTGGCGAAATTGTCTCTAGATGCATAATACATGGTATGTGATAATACTATTGTATCAGATAGAGTTGCTTTATCTTGTCTGTCAGCAAGAGCACACTGTGACCTTTTGCATTCCTTATATATGTAATTCTAAAATTCAATACAAAATTCATTAAGTTTCTCTTGAGTTATTTTGCATTTGCTTTTATTTCCGTACTTCTGTTTGGGTTTCTGTGTGTTCTACTGTGAGGACACCTTACAAGTGCAGGGCATTGAGTTTGGTATTTTTTAAAACCAGAACTCTTGACTTTCCTCACAATAATCAAGATAAGTTTTGAGAAAGAGAGAGAAAATGCTGTACCAAATTTTGTGTAAGCATACACATAAACAGATAACATTGTTTAATGCAATACTGAGTAGAATCACTTGCATTGGGAATTTTACAAACCATTAATGACTATTGTTAGGGATCAAGTGGCTGGTATGGTAGGTGCCACAAGCATTGTTTTGTGTATTTGAATTCAGAAAAGGGTGTGATATTTAAGGAAGCTGATACAGAGCATACATTTATTAATTGAAGGTTTTCCTGACTCTTTTTTTTCCACTTCAAATTCTCTTTGTGGACATATTGTTTGTTTTGTTTTTTTAATTGTTTTGTAGTTCTAAAAGAATAAGAAACCATTAACAGACTTTAATTTGTCTTTTCATAATGCATGTTCTATACTGAAGGGGTGCAGGAGTCGTATGTTTTTGGTAAACTGGACCTTCAGTCAACATTTGGGCTAAAAGAGAGTTCGAAACAAGACAGAGTTATTATAGAAGAAAGATAATTTGTCTTTACAAAAAGTATATATTCTATGCTGTTGGTGGTGGGACAGCTCATTATCTATGTCCGTCAGCCAGCTCCCTCACTGTGAGATAGTGGTAAAACCTAATTCTTTTCCTGTTATATATAATCACACATGTGTTCAGTTCTTGCTTCTGTGAGACTGTGTTGCATATTCATAAAAAAACAGCAGCACTGTTTGAACCTACAGTCTACCTACTTTCCCCTTATTATTAAGGGTCAAAGTCTCAGTGTGAGTAGAAAAAGTAAGGAACCGAAATGGTAACCGGAGAAGCTGAACATTATAAAATGATTATAAATAATAAACAGCATTTATATAGGGCATAACCCCACTGTACAGCAAGCTCTATGCACTTTACACTAGATCTATATATATTATTACCCCAGCAGAAAATAGAACGCTCGGAAACATTCTCAGCTTTCCAGGAAGCATACAGTGCAAGCAGCTGATTAAACACTCAAATACTAACAAACTCACAAGATCTTTCACTGAAAGATTATTCAGGTATATTGCTGCATCTCCAATACTTAGTTCCCATTGACATATATGTAGCTTTGAGAGAATCACCAACATCCAATTAGCAGGTAAATTTTTTAAAGCATCTGTCAATTAATAAAGAAAATATTATATAGGCCTGCCTTGCCACATCAAAAAGCCTGTATCAAACTTCTGATTTTGGCTCCAGACTTTGACCTCTCTGTATACATGATGAATGAGAACAGAAATGTATTTTTGAGGGTGTTTTTTTCTTGTCACAATATTGTTATTTGAAACAAATTTCATGCAGAAAGCTGTCGTTTCTGGGTTGTTAAAAATTACTATTAACTATTGAGATGGAGTGTCGTATTGAGTTGGCTGTAGACAGAAAATTTTAACTTTTCTGAAGGTTATGATTGTCATTCCATGAATTAACATTGAAAGACAGAACAAAAAACAACCCCCCCCCCCCCACACACACACACAATGAGGATTGTTAGAATCTTAACTTTTTCGGAATAAGCCTATGAAGCAAAATCTTAACGTTTAACTAATACGAAGCAAAAATGCATTGACATGATCTGTATGCAGCGAAAGAGACATAATTATAACGGAAAGTTAATGTAAATTGCTACGACTACTAGATAAATCGTGCAGTTTGTTTTCTTCGCTGCTACACACAAGAAATTGCCCTTGACCTCTGAACTTACCCGATAAAAACAAACAGTTCATGCGCAGCCGTTTGACAATAATATAATATTATGTTCTTAAACATTTAAATACTTAATATATAAGTATTAAAGTATTATTGCCCTTGCTGTCTTGGTGTCAATGAAAGTAGATCTACGACTTGACAGCATTTCCGGGAGAGAGTCGTGGAAATATCCACGGCTCATCAGCCACGGTGGATCCAGCTGTGGAGAGCTAATAATAGAAATCGCAGTGGCTACGTTCACGGTGCCGTGAACGTAGTCTGAAGGCTAGGTTCACGGCGCCCTGAATGTAGTTGGCAGACGCTGTTGAGGCTACTTTCACAGCACTCAAGCTTCGTTTAGAGTTAGACGGAGTGTCCACTGCCGGTTTTCGTAGTCAGTGACTACAGTGACGTATATTTAATATTTTGGCCAGCTTCAAATGCTCCATCCCATGAGATGAAGGAAAACGAAAAAGCCCGGGAACCGACACAGAGAGAAAATGACGGGAATAATTATTATCATAATAGCAAACACCCTCTCTCTCTTTCTGGTCTGTCTCTCCCCTTTCTCTTTCCTTCTCTCTTTCTCCCCCCCCCCCCTCTCTATTTTCTTTGCCTCTGTCTGTCTGTCTGCCCCCCCCCCTTCTCTCTCCCTCTCTCTTTCTCTCTCTCTCCCCCCGGAGTTGTGAGTAAAAATCATTTAGCCCCAGAGCTCCCGGGCAGGAAACTGCATCTCACATAGAGGCATATGCCTTGTTACGCCACTTTGTGAGAATATATGCCGAGGCATATGACCGCATACGCCATGGTATGAAGATGTTTCGTTTTGTTTTCTCGCTTGTGAATGAGGGGGGTGTGTCTCATTTCATGTTTAGTAGTCTTGCTGATTCTGTCTCGTTGCATCTTTGAGGGACTTTTATACGCTTCCTTACCATTAGTTCAAGTAGACACGTGTTGTTCTGGTACCTGTGCTGTAAATGTTATCCTTGCTTTCTCAGCGTTTGATGTTCATGCACCCATAAAGATATGGTATTTTAGCTCATTTGTAAGCTTATAATTATAAACATTCACTTTTTAAAATATTTTCTACTAGTAAAAGTATTTTATTAGGTCCATGAGTCCCCAAAGATATGGTATTGCAGAAAGTTCTGATTATATTGATGATTTAGATGCAGACCCGTCTTTCAAACCTGGTTTCTATGTCATGCAAGAAGAACATATTTGCTGCTTGTGGGAGGTGTGTATTGCTCCTGTATTATACATACAGTCACTTTGTGGAAGAAGCATGCTCATTGTAGTCTTTTTTAAAAAACACATAGCATCGTGAGTAGAAAACAGATAAAGCCAGAAGAGAATAACTGTTGTCGTTGGATATTGTACTCGACCTGAAAATTTCATGGTAGAAGGTGCTGCCAAGGAAGTGACTGCTCAGAAAGGTCTACAGTCCAATAAGTATAAATCAGCTAACCACAAAGGACATTTTGGAGAGGAGTTCCTTAGCCCTATAACTGAAATACATTTTGGCGTTCACGGGCTTCGAGACAGGTGTATGAATTTGAAAGCTATGAGAAATATTGTCAAAGCTGTCACACTATTGCGAATGAAGCACACAAGGAAATGTTCCAGCAATATTACAGACTTAGAGACCATCACCTACAACGTGAGTTCGTTGTTGGTCACATGGACTGCTCTGAATCTATGAAAGGGGCAAGCTGTTCTCGCGGACAGAAAACCAATACATATTACTTGAACTTGACTGTCAATGGAATTCCGCCATCTATAAGACAACATCAGAAAAAAGAGGATGATTATGCCCAGCAGTTGTCAAAAAAAGAGATAAAAAAACTTACCATCCTTATTAATGCTTTAATTACGAGATTCACCGCTGTAGGTCAATTTCCAGTTAAAAGGACTTGCTCTCAAACATGAACTGAAGAGGAGACAAAACAAAGGCTGAACAATCGTATCCACGGAAAAGCCAAAGTGAGAAAACTTAAAGAAGATGCTTTCAGTTGCAATATAATCATAAGCTGAAGTGGAACAGACTCAACAGAGACTATTCAATAACTATTTATTTCCTACTAACCCATCGTACCAAGCATTGACCTTTCAGCCCCAGAAAAATCAAGTCAAAGACGTTCCATTGTCAGCACTGAACCATGAACAGCCTAAAAGGCTCCCTATTGCCAAGCACACTTTTCATCAGACTGGGGGAACACACAATGTTCTTTTAACTTTGCCACACGTAACTTAAATAACAGGCTACCACTTACACTGTGTTTTGGCATTGAAGTGCCTTTCCAGATCATTTTAATCTTTCTTAACAAACACTTGCGCAATAGTTCATTGATTAACATTGATTATGGGCAAATACGTTTATAAGGTATTACACAAATTCATTACACAAGCTCAGAATTTATCTTTCTACTAATATTGTTCTTGTCTAAGGATGGTGCGCAGCTCCTTCTTTCCTATCAAACAACTATCGTACGTATCTCTCCTCCTCCTTTTTTGTGTATGTTATTCTCTTGTAACACCTCTAATCTTCGGCACCTATATGACCTTATTGAATTGCAAGTGCTGTAAAACTCTTACTAAAACTAAAAGCAGTCCTGAAAGAAAGGATATGTGCAGTACTAGTAATTTTATGCTCATTGTATTGTGCAAATTCTGCATAATACCTTGAAGACAAGTAAGAAAGCTTAACTCTTAAAGTTATTTACATTTCATATCGTGGAGACCCCAAATCTGTTTCTGTTTCTTTTTCTTGTTGTTTTTCACTCCCCAAAATAGATCACTTTGGCATATTGAGTTGATAAACCTGTTCAATAATCAAGAAAAAAATCCCTTTTCTCTTTATTCTATTACCAAACGATGTGGCGTATTGTCAGTCTTGTGTCTTTACGGACATAATTATGTTCTCACAAACAGACGTATCAGCTATTTTAAACAATTTCTTAAAAACTGATAAAGCAATATCTGTAGTCATTATAGGGAATGATAAATCAGTGGTTGTACTAATATCTTGCCAAAAAATGAAACGAAAAAGCTAATGGTTATGCCACAGCAAGAATTTAAAAAGTGTCCAAAACTTTGAAATGCTCTCCTGAAAAATGCCAAAAATGCTCTTACGCCCTTTTGTGAGAGACGGACGACGGTGTGTGTGTGTGTGTGTGTGTGTGTGTGTGTGTGTGTGTGTGTGTGTGTGTGTGTGTGTGTCTGTGTGTGTCTGTGTGTGTCTGTGTGTGTGCGCGTATTATGTCTTTGGCCCAGAACGAGATACAGTGGAAACCTGATATAACAGGGATGGTGGGAGTAGAGAAAATGTCCTGTTATATCCGATCCCTGTTAAATCAGAAATGCAAGGAAAGTAAGCATTTGTGGACTAATCCAGCTGTACTTATTTATGGGTAGTACCCACGAACAGGGATTTTGGCACCAACTCCCTCCTTGCCTACTTAAACCACATCAGATGAGCTTGGTCCATAGCATCTGCATCGAGTAGTCTCATCTTCTTTCGATCCAGAGCAAACTTTGCATTGGAGTATGCTGCCACTACCTTCTCTCTATCCTTGATAATGGTAATGGTGTGAATCGACCCTTGTGTGGAATTTCGAACTGACGACAGATCTCTGCCAGAGGAGCTTGCTTTTTGTCAACAGCCTGGGTTATTTCGTATTATTTGTCAATTAAAAGGCATTTTCTCTTGCGCTTGACATCGTTGGTGACACATGTGACATTAGTCGTGCGTGTCGCGTGTTGCGTGTTGCTAGGTTTCGGGCTAGATCGAGGTCTGCAGCACACCGCAGCCCTCTCTCACTTCACACGCTGCGTGTGCTTGCAGTGACATGGCTTGCGTGGGCTTGCTCCATCACTGCGTTACTCTCTCTCTCTCTCTCTCTCTCTCTCTCTCTCTCTCTCTCTCTCTCTCTCTCTCTCTCTCTCTCCTCTCCTCTCCTCTCTCTCTCTCTCTCTCTCTCTCTCTCTCTCTCTCTCTCTCTCTCTCTCTCTCTCTCTCTCCTCATATTTTTTACACATTGTCAACGAGCCTTTGTCCCTGCTATAACCGGTTGGTCTCCAATGAGGCCCTGTTATTGCCGGTAACTTTTAATATAGACAAAGAGTAGGAAAAAACGGGGATTAAAAAAAACCCTGTTATTACCGGATCCCTGTTATTACCGGGCCTGTTATATATGGTTTCCACTGTATTCATTCTTTCATTCAAACTATTTGCAAGCGTATTTCATATCATGTATGCATTTTTATACAGTAAAGAGATAAGGAAAGTTGATAGCACGGTTATCTTTTTTTTAATTTCTTGCAACTACGAGACTCGTAGATTCTATGTTCAATGCCCTTCAGAGCTTCCAAAACACCAACAACGAAGAGCTGAACAGAAAACTAATGAAGATTGAAAAACAGAGCAGTTACAAATGCCTCACAAAACCTGGACGTAACAGTTACTTGTGTTCATTAGTTTTAATTTTGTTTTTGTTCAGGAGCTGTTGGTTTCTTACCGAGCTCGAAACCTCTTTTGCACACAGACCCTGTAAGATTTTGAACATTTGTCAGTGAGGAACAGAGGCTACGAAACTGTCATGGTTTTGGGTGGCCTGGGGTGGAATGAACAAAGCTGCTCTCGTGAGAATCACCGGATGCCTTGGTTTAGTGGACTCCATCGCGCAAGTGCTGGAACGCCATCTCTTACCCTTTTTTTTCTTCAAGGTGTTATTCAAGTAGAGCTAGTCATCCCCATGCGAAACACGGCATTTTCTCATAGGGTCAATGCCATTACAGAATTCTTAAAAAACCAAATCAAGTCAACGTTCGAATAGTTAGCAGCAAACAGCCTTGATATGAATCCTACAGGTATGTGAAGTCCCATGAAACAGCGGCTGAAGAAAAACGACTTTGCCCCCAATTCAGACCCTTTGTTTGCAACTCTCTGTGACATTTGAAATGAAATGACTGATAAATATGTCCAAAACTAAATTGAATTGATGCCCAAAGGTTTCGTGCACAACACAAAGCCAATGGTTTCTAAGTAAAATAACAATGAACACAATTAGTGTTGAGTCGAAGTTTTGTGTGGTATCTGTGATTGCTCTGTTTTCCGTTTTGTTTGAAACTATCGTGACAAAATATCGTAACAAAATATTGCTTATTGCAAAGACACAATTCTCCATTCATTGGGCATTCAATATACCACCATTCGATCAATATTGATACTCTTCAATAAATGCGCAAAGACAATTTTATGTTTCTTTTATTTCGCACAATTTTGCCAAGCCTTATTTTTTAAAGGTCAATTTTGAGTGACAATATCTCGGGCGTCTCTGAAAATAGATTAAATATTAATGTGTCGGATGATGAAGAATTTATTTAGCATTAAATTGGTATGCTGCATGCGTGGGTAATGCAAGGCTTTAACACGATGACTGGGTGATTACATTTTCAAGTTTCTTTTGGACGCCACTGTATAACGGATTACGTTTACAGTAAGTTTTGCACGTCCAAACTTTTAGGAGTTTTCGCTCAAATTGGGCTCTTTCAGGGGGGGGGGGGGGGGGACACAAAAATATATAATGCGAAAAGTTGTTAAGATATCGTCATAATTTTCGGTATGTTGATTGATGAAACATTATTCTAGTGTAATAAGTAGTGTCGTAAAAAAAAAAAAAACTTGAATACATGATTTCATAATAAATTTAATCCGTTGTTTGGATCTGAGATTTTTTAGGTAAAAATATTCCCATATTTAGGACCTCGATTCTGGAAAAGTTTTTCCTCCTACATCAAAAATGCCAAGTCCATCCTCTAAAACAGCCACGGAAGGCTGCAAAACAACTTATTGTAACATTTAAAATCACTTATAACCTTATGATAGATTTTTTAAAAATGTGTGCATTTTCTATATATGACATTCCAATATGGCAGGCGTTACCATAGCAATACAAAAGAATTTTCAAAATTTTACTTCATGACTTAATTCTCCACTCTTTTTATATTGATGCTACCCAATGATGCTACCACATTTGTAAGCAATTTCAAAATTTCCCCCGCTTCATGCCTTAAACCGGCAGTGGACGCTCCGCCTAAACGAAGCTTGAGTGCCGTGAACGTAGCCTCAACAGCGCCTGCAAAATGCATTCAGGGAGCCGTGAACGAAGCCTGCCAACTACATTCAGGGCGCCGTGAACCTAGCCTGCAGACTACGTTCACGTCGCCGTGAACGTAGCCACTGCGATTTTCGTTTCTTGGTAGGTACAAAAGATTGTCAGCTACCAGCCACAGAATTCTACACTTAAATGAAATGAAAATGTGCACACCATGAATCTGATCTGAATCTAAAAATTCCTCTTGTTGAATAGGGGAGGCCTGTAATAATAGAACACAAAAATTCGAGCTGCCCGTTCAGTTGGGTCAGGGTCCGATTGCTGATTAGTTTTGGGGATTGGGGGAGGGAGGGGGAGGGGCAGCAGTGACGCATTATTCGCTAGGCCTAACAATAGTAGTCCTAGGCCCGCCTTAGGCCTAATGTTGATCAATCTTTGAAGAAGGCCTGAGGCCTAGTTGCTAGCGGTGCGAGACTGTGGGCTACACACCCTCTCTGCTACACACAGTAGGCCTACACACTTTCTGTAGATCTGTAATCTGTAGTGATCTGACTCTGACCCGAGATAACTCTATGCTCTGACCTAATCACCAATCAGCTGGTGGTAGCATAGAATTCTACACTTAATCTAGATCTAGATCTAGATATCTAAGCCTCTCGTTCCACCTGCATGACCTGAAGACCATTTTAAAATATTTTAATTGGTGAGGTAGGTTCAATACCAGAGACCAGACCTAATTATTCTAGATCTAGATCTAGATCTAGATCTAGATCTAGAATCTAGATGTAGATTCACGCCTAGATTCTTCTATGTAGAAAATTTTCTGTACACACGTAAGATGCCGTTAATCTTTTAAAACTGTTTGAAAACAAACAACATTTTCTTGAACTTGCACGTTTTAGCGCACATGCCTCCTGTTCACAACTCATAGATAATGTTTTCAAAGTTGTTTACTATCGTGACACATTGTTGAATTGACTGCTCAGATACATAAGATTCTATAAAAATATAGCAGAGGTGTATCATTTCTAAAGGTATTCATCATGACCTAATTTTTTAAATAAAAATAAAAATTATTTATCTCATAACATGAATAATGAAATAAATCTAGATCTAGACTAATTATAAATAAAAGGCACTGCAAGTGGTTTATTTTCCATATAATTTTATTGCTGTGGTCAGCTGACATTGGGAAGGTAATCTTTGGTTTTTTATCGTCATGGTAATGGAGTCGAGCACAGATTTAAAAAAAAATCAGGTACAGCTCATATTATATATAATTTGCAATTCCCTGACTGATAATCTCATAAATTTTTGTATTGGATTCTAATTTACGCAAATTACGGATATGTGTTGAACACTTTTTTGTCAATCCCTGAAGTGTTTGAGTCATCTGTGTTGGACTGTTTGACTTTTTCTTCAGTCATCATGGTGAAGTCAGGCGCTTGTCAAAATAATGAAATTAGAGAAACCAACATTTTCAGCTTGATGGGGAAACTGTTATCAGTTTAAGAAAGAAAAAAGAATTGGCTCAACATCTTTTATGTTTCTATTCAATTTTAAGAACTTTGAATTTCTCTGTGAATTTTGCTGAAAAACATTGATCACAAACACAAAAAAAAGTTAATTTGCAGTTTCTTAGGACATTCTAACTTGAGTACCGGTATTCACCACTTTGGTGGCCATTTTCTAATTAATTTTATATCTGAACAAGCGAACCCCACCTCCTTCAATTGCAATACAGTCAATTTCTATTCTAGAGAGATGGATATTTTTTCATAAGAGCAAGATAAATGAGCAAGCTCTAAGATGATGCCAATAATTCTGTGTATGTATGCCAAAGAACTGAAGAGCACCTGATTCTGTGTCATGACACAAATGTTTAGTTTCAACATTACCCAGCAGGGTATGTTATATATTACTTTTAAGAAGAGAAAAGATGAAATTGAATATAATACTTTTCCTCTAGCTGGGTTGTTATTTTTTCCCCCTATTTCAGGGAATAAACATTAAACAGGCTTCTGTGATGTAACAATTACACTCACACGGCTGCATGTAAAATACTCAAATTTGATCCCACAAGTGGACTAGTCTGTTTTATCAAAAGTATGTCTTTCCAATGTCATCCCAATCTGAGTCGGCCCTGACAGATAGGACATGATCAAAGCAGCCAGCTTGAAAAATTTCTTAACTGAGTCGATGGAGACATGAAACATTATATTTACTATCAACATCAGATGAATTGGAAGTAAAAATAAAATAAATTGCTCTCAGCCTTATGATTGAATGATTGACACCTTTTCTGATTTTCCAAGTCCCTGCACTTTGATCAAACTAGTTATTCATGAATAATTCCAACTCATAATAATAATTTTGTTTTTTTTCTTCAGAGCAGACCCTTTGTTGTTGTGAGACTTGCTCTTCAAGAAAGCTGATGACTGACTGATCCACTTTGCTTCGATTGCTATCATGGCTTTTGGCTGGAAGCTGCATGTGATACTCTCGTTTTTCTTCATCCTGGCTGCTATAAACAAAGGTGTTGCTGGGTACAAGCATGTGGTGTTAATGCATGGCATTTTAGCAGGACCAGATGAGTTTGACTATTTTGCTACTCTTGTAAAGCAAGTGAGTTTATATTCTTAAAGAACGTGAAAAGTTTGATAATGCAGACACGATGGGTTTCTCCAATATCTATAACTCCTTAATTTAAAAAAAAATTGTTTTCCAGTTTTCAAGCTCATAATGTGCTCACCATCATTTTGCATGTACTGTTCTGTACATGATATGTGCTCTTCAGTGTAAAATTGCAAAAATCTAAAAGTTTTCTGTCAGAAATTTTGGTGCGTGGGTCTACTCACTCATGAGGGATCAGTGTAGGGCACCCCAGGATCAAGGGGTTAAAACATTGTTATTTAAAGCTTATTCACTGTGCAAAAATTTGAGAAAGATAAAAATATTGGAACAGTATAGCTTGGTCACTTTCGTCTAACCACGGTAAAACAAGCTAAACTCAGATCGTTCTGTTTAATCTTCTCAGATCTTTGCATGTGGGTCTAAAAGCCCATTGCATTCATAAAGGTAACTGCAAAATAAGGTTCAGACTCGTTTTCTTTGATGTTAGCCTAAAGTGGGTCAAAAGATTATAGGGGATTTACAGCATACACCCAAAACATTAAAAAGTTTATCTATTTTCCTCAACACAACTTCTACGAATGCCTGTGAAACATGGTCCAACAGGCGAGTGAGTACTTTTCAACATTCACATGGAAACATTTTGACCGTTGTGGGATGAAATCTTCAAGCTAACACTGAAATGTGGATGGTGTTGCTGTGTCAAAATGAGCAATTTGTAGTTTGTAGGCTAGGTTACCGTAAATCATTTATGGTAGTCAGCCTATCTATGCACCCTAAGAGTGGTTTTTATATGGCCCAAATAGAAAAAACTCTGTTATTAATTGGTTAATTTTTTTTTTCCAAAATTTTTGTTTGGTAGCTGTCAATGCAAAGTTTTATGGACACATGGGTATATTAATGACCTAGAATTTTTCTAAAGTGGACTGACAAAAGTGAACAAGCTATAGTAATCACTGTTTCATCACTACAGATGACAGACAATAAACTTTCTGCAGTGTTGTTCATATTATATCTTTTCATGATGCTGCATACATCTTATCTGTCCACCTCCTGAGAGAAAGTGATGGCAGCAGAGAAAATAAAGAAAGAGGAAAGGATTCATGTTCTCCTCTCAAAATACAGGAGCAGGGCATATGTTGATACAAATGGTTGGCATGTTCCTACACACATTCATTGACTGAAAAAAATATTCCCTTGAAATATGATTTTACCTTTTCCATCTATTTGAAGAACCATACCCACTCAGTGTGCTCCCTTTCTGAAAGAGAAAGTATGCTGAAAGAGCATCTTAAGCTTGAAACATAGCTTATTAAATAGTTATGAGCTTTAATGCTTTTGCCTTATGGTGATCAAACTTTTGAATTGAACTGTTTTCTTTTGTAATGAAAATGACAAACCATGCAAGTCCTGAAATGTGAGGACTGTTGTATGAGGTAGCCATGATGTTGTGTTCATTTCTTAAAATATTAAATGTTAAAATTATCTTCAACAAGGTAGGCCCATTTTGCAAATGAAAAGACAAAAAGTGAGCAGGGATTTATGATATCTATTCACACTCCTTGAAAATACATCAGTGCTTTACTCTATATTCTCAAAACATGTGCTGACATGGTCCTGTGGGATACGCTGCGTCATGGAGTCTTAATTTTCGCTTTTGTAACTCTCCATTCAGGAACCTTTATAATTGTATGGGGATTTTTCATCAAAAAAATATTTTTCCATCACGTGTCAATTGTTAGTGCTTTTGTGATGACATAATATAAGAAAGTGATGATCTGGATTTATGATGTACTAATCCTCTTCCCATTCGTTTAACTGGGGCTCTGCTGTACTGACTGTTCCTTTAGGCTTATCCTGGCACTCCTGTCACACAAATCGATGCCTTTAACCACCTGGAAAGTTTGACAACCATGTGGGATCAGGTGGACAAGATCTCAAAACTGGTCTCACCGATCTTGACCAATTCATCAAGTGGGACTGTTTTGGTCTGTTTTTCTCAAGGTAAGTGCTGCTGATTTGTCAGTAGAAATGTTTTTGGTGTATATCTACGTTTCAATCTTTTATACTTGAGTTACATTAACCTTTTATCTTTTTTTGGGGGGGTCCCTCTATTCTGGGGCCCTCTCTCGGTACAAAACCTAAAAGTGGTGTATGCATCACTAAATTGGTCATTAAATCAAAACAAATGAACCTATTTTGATACTTCTTCATCTCATTAAAGAACTCCCGGCAGAAATAATTGTTTTCAGCATTTCCGAAAACCAATATATAACGTCAAAGTCATTGTTAACGAATGTGCCTGAACCGCTGCCAACATCTCACCGGCACAGCGGTTCTGACTGCAAGCTGATGGTAGCTGCTTGCCGGAGATAAGGAGTTAAAAAAGTGCACACTTAAATCATTTAGACAATCAAGGAACTCTGTCCACTTTTAATCACAGCCACCGTCAAGGATGTGGTTTATTTCCAAAACCAGATTGAGTTGCAATGTTACAAAAGTACCATGGTAGTTACCTTTCTCTCAATGAACATAATTTTAAGTTTTGTTTCTTCCTAACCAAGTACCTTTCAAACCAACAGCTTTCTGCTGTGTAGAATTAGAATGCAACACCCCTCTTTGATTTCACTTTAGAAGTTTTGGAGAAAGGACTTTCAAGACAGTATACACTTGCAAGTTATGCATATTTTCCTTTTTATTTGTATTTTCCCTTCTTGAATATGAATATTGACTTTAGAGATTGGGAAAAGTGCTTTTTTGAATAAAAAGAACAAATTTAATTAATGGTGACCGCCTGTTTGGCAGGGTTGATTTTAGATTTATCAAACGGGGGCCTTCACATTATTAAGTGGAAGGATGATTAAGGTATTCTGTATGTCTGTTGTATGGTACTGATCTGTCAATGAATCTGTTTGTACACTAGAGCAATGTCAAGATGGAGAGAAAAGAAATTAAGCTTCAATGGATGGAAAGAAGAGAAGGAAAAAGGGAGGGCAAAGATGTGTGTTTCTCTTCCTTTTCTGTTTGATTGAATTATTTAAAAAGCATAAGACCCTTTATATAAAGAACAGATTTGTCTCTTCTTGTCTTAGAATGCCCCCCTCCCAATTCTGTAATTGAACAAGGAGCTGAAGTATGTGCTTTGAATTAATACATTTCTGTGTAGAAATAACAGCGTTGAACTCAAGTAGAGCAAAAGGTAAAACATGACATGAAAAATAATGGCACCCCTAATAACAGACCTTATTTTCTGTAACCAGTAAATTACATCTCAACCCTATGTATATTTTGTACATAGGTGGTCTCATTTGCAGAGGTCTCCTGGCTACAATACCACACAATGTGGAGACTTTCATCAGTCTCAGTTCTCCACTTGCTGGCCAGTTTGGAGGTAAGATGGTTTTTAAATAAATGGAGTAATAGATCCATTTTCACCTTTTTGTTATTAATTTTATGTCGAGGCAGTATTGACCCAATATAACAGTGAAATTGTTTTTGAAAAATTGTGCTGTGCCTTGTTTTCTTATCCAGCAGTGGCTGCCTAAGATTCAAGTGTTCTAGAGTTTAATATATATAGGGTCTGACCTTCAATTTCGTTGAATCCGAGTGTTCGATACAGCAAACATGAGGTTTTTGTGGAGAACAAGTAATGTATAGATAATCATAATGCATTTGACTTTCTCAAGAAAAAGTAGTTTGGTTTCAAATTAGAGGCATTTTCGTTTCTTTGATGCTGTACCACCATACCATAGAAATGCTGGACATTTCTTGAAAAATACACTGAACTCTGCCAAGCACACACTTAAAATGCTCGCCTATGTCATCTATCATCTATAACGTTGTATTTGCCGAACAAGTTATGTTGCTGTGTAAAGCCTACCATATGGCAATGTTTGATTCCTCAGTCCAGGGCGCAATTCATTACGTACATCTATGTCAAGATTATCTTATCATTGTAACGTTGATCAGTTGGCGGAAAAAAAAATGATGCACTTGTATCTTTACTGATGTTCCACACCTAGACCGCCTTTGCACAGACAAACTCACAGTCATGTGTGGTGGTCGTCTTTCTGACCTTGACCCTTGCTAAGACATGTGTGCGAGCTAACAACGTGTGTTTTGGTATGAAAGAAGGCTGCTGGTTGGTCACCTAAGACAAACAATATACTAAGCCAATAATGGTTCACGATGCAGTTAAAATGAATGGTTTTCAGGAATAGATATGGCTCATTATGGTAGGAAAATAAGCGAATCCACGTCAGCAGGGCTGGTTGATACTGCAAGCGATTTCGTTGAATCCAAGCATGCTCATTTATGTGTTTGTTGAATCCGATTTATTTTTATTAATTTTTATAAATAAAAAAAACGGGGAACCCAATCCATTTTGTTAAATCCGAGTTTTCTTTGAATCTGAGTCAGTTGAATCCCAGTTCCACTGTAGCACAATCCAAAGTCAAGTAAGAATAATCTTATCTCTCTGTAAACTAACTCAGAGTGAAAGAGCTGTTGATCTCACTACCAATTAGATTTGTCTTAACGTGTAGTAATTATCCAGTCTTGTGCTAGGAAACATCTGAAGTCCATTCTCTTTGCTCTCACTCCCATCCTGCTGTGACTCCTGCATCAAATTTTGACAGGTCCTTTGATAGTAGTGGTATTGCTTTTGTTTGTGATACCCAAGGCATACAATTAATTTTCTAATTTAAATATACTTCATGAGAGTGGTCTTCAACTTCTTTGACAACTTATCTCTCCTCAGACACGGATTATTTGAAGTTTTTCTTTCCTTACTACGTCAAAGAAAACATTTACAAGTAAGTCTGACATTTACTTTTGTAGGCCCTTACCCTGAGAACAATTATTATAAACTGTATCTACACATTGCCTCTTTGTTTACATGCCAGTGTTTCCTTTTCCCTCTTTTAACACAATCTTATTTTTGTTTTTGAAGTCTGATTCAATATGGGGAATTGTAATGAAGGACAATTGTGGTACAAAATAGTATTAAAAATTAGAGCAATAGAAGTAAAGCTTTTCATGTTTATATTCTAGCCAGACACTCTTTGTTCTTCCGTTAAAAAGTTTTGTGGTGTACAAAGTCTAAGTCTAGCCTAGTTTACATTCAGGTGATCTGGAGGAGAGATTACTCTGTCACATTGGCATGACCCAGGCATAGCGTCACCTGTGTTACTGGATCAATGAATACATTAAGTTCAATCCCTTTTGACTTTCACAGGTCGAACAAAACAGACCTTGTCAGAACTAAAATTTCGCTCATTCAAAACATTGAATGCAGCTTTGAACTTTTAGCTTTTTTTCTTCTATTGTTAGTTTTTTATTGAATTTTTAAAATATTTTTTTTTGGGGGGGGGGGGTATTATACAACACCCTTCATCTCTTTTGTTCTGACAAATGTGACCTGAAGGCTATCCCAGTGGCCACACTGAGGAAAAGATGCTTCTGGTCAGTGGTTGTATGCTGTACCAGTGTGCAAGTGGTTATGTATTGTTATGGGAATTTCTTGTTGCAACTTTTTAGGCTGTTCTACACTGAAGTTGGACAGGTCTTTTCTGTTGGTGGATACTGGAAGGGTGAGTGCATACCTCTGGCAAACTTAGTTCTTTTTGTTATTTGATGCTTTCATTATTTTCACATTTTTTTTACAATTCTTACTGCCCTTCATTTTTAAGGAAGGTGATAATCGCTAGCAAGTGCTTTTTAAAAAAAATTTGAGCTGATATTTTTTTTCTAAACTCGTAGTGTCTTCTGTTTACAGATCGGTGTCATCAGTGTTGAGTAAGCACTTAATGACTCACAGTATTATATCATGACTCACAGTATTATATCATGACTCTCAGTATTATATCATGATGACTTCAGTTGTTATTCTGCAATGAGAGACAATCCTACCCGCTTATAATATAAAGTCTCAAGAACATTCTATATGAAGTTTATAGAAATTGTTTTCGAGGTCTGAGGCGGCTTTGGGTATGGATAAAATACTTGATATTCCTCAGTTGCTCATTCCTTTGTCTTTAACATTAACTTTTTATGTCTATAGCTTGTTCACTTTCATCTGACCGCATTTAAAAAATTCTAGCTCATTGAGCTCATGTGCCCACGAAACTTTGCATGGCTCTTCTGCAGGCCAGCGACCAAACAAAACTATTTTTAAAAAAAATCTTCACCATGTAATAAAAAGTTTTTCTCTTTGGGCCCTATATTAAGCACCACTCTTTGGATGCATACACAGGATCACTAAATTAAATGACTTACAGTTGCCTTGCCTACAAATCACTCATTTTGAGACAGCGACACCCCCCTGCCTCCACATTTCAGTGTAAGCTTGTAGATTTCATCTCCCGGCTGTCTAGACGTCTCCATGTGCTCCACGTGAGTCTAAAAAAATACTCACCCCGTCTCTTGAATCCTGTTTCTTAGGTGAACGTTGAAGAGTGATGTTGAAGAAAATATGTCACTTTTTCAATGTTTTTGGTGCATGCTGTAAGTCCTCTATTATGTTTTTGACCCGCTTTAGGCATACATCAAAGAAAACGTGTCGGAACCTTAGTTTGCAGTGACTTTTATAAAATGGGCTTTTAGATTCTGTTGGTCGCTTGACTTTTAGACCAGCATTCAAAGACCCAGAAAGAACAGAACGCTTTGTTTTTATCCCGTTTTAACGGTGGTCAGACAAAGGTGAACGAGCTATAACATTTGGATATCTATAGTGGAAGTTTCTTTTATGTTACATATATATCACCTTGATAATGTGTTTGAGAATTTGGACACTTATTAGTTTTGTATGTATAAGTTGTATTGGGTGTATTGAGTTAAGAGAATATCTCTCTGAAAATTCTGTTAGATACGAATTTCTAAATCCCATGTCAAATAAACCAGCACATGATTTCTACTTTAACCCAATAGACTTTAAAAAAATCATTCCCCTCACAGTGTTTCATAGCCCTATAATATTGAAAATGTTTAATAGTTTTAGCTAGACCAAAATTAAAATAAAAGAACATTTATATTACTTTTTTTTTTCTTGGTCAAATTTCATTTTTGGAATGTGAGTAATATGTCATACTCACATATCTTCATGTCATATACAGCTGCCAAATCTCTTGTGCTTTCATTTTGTTCTTCTGTGCCCATTCACACATTCAGCATGTAAGAGAATGTATAATTGAACATAGAATATACACACTGTGATGGACATCTGTACTGTTGGTCCTTTATTCTGTATACAGTCGAACCTGTCCAATACTGGGAATTTGTCAAAACGGAATCTCCCCGCTGTGTGCTTGATAAATTCCTCTGTGATACACCTGTCTAGGAGTTAAACCTACTCAACACAGAAACAGAAAGAGAAACTCCTCCCTTTTTGAGGGTTATGGTCTATGTAAAATGGAAATGGGTTTGCTTGCGTAGCCTTGATTTGAAATTAAACTCCCAAGTTTGGTGCCATCGGTTTGAACCATAATGCCAGGCCGCAAGGCATGTGATTTTTGAGGGACTTAGTTGGTCAGAAAGTCCAGTACAAACATCGCAAGACAGTCACTGCAGTGGAACCCACAGGGAGCATAAGGCAAGGGTAGGCCACGGGAAACATGGAGGAGATGTGTGGAATAAAGGGACATGAGAAAGATGAAGCTCTCTTAGAATTGGAAGGAAAGCCCAAAGGAGCTTGTATGTGGCATGTACCCTGCCAGGGGGGGGAGGGGAGGCATTGATAATAGTTGGTCAGGATGGCGTGGGCATGACATTTCACCATTGCTTGTGAAAGTACTTCAGTGGCGCTCCAGCACAATACTTTCCAGGGTAACGAGATGTAAAAAATTGATTTGATCACTTCCTGCCACCTTGATTGTACAGCTAGCCCAGAAAAAAGTTCCTGGAATCTTTATTATAATTATGCATGGGAGAAGTGGCATTGTTGATTGCACTTATGACATAAATAGGTGGGGGCTAAGTGTGAAAACAAAGAAAAAGTTTGTTTATTTTTTATTGGTCAAACAGTAGTCCAATGAGATGCACGAACTGATAGCAATGGATAAATAGTACTGATACATGGCATTATCAGAGAAGTTATGACAGCACTTGTGAGGTGGGAAGTTTTCACTACTGCTTGTGGACTGGACAGGCAACCCTTGATCCCAACATTAGCTGGCTGGCTCTTTGGGACCTCCCCCCCCCTTACACACACACACCCTCCGCCCTAAATTTCCCTGTGAAAGACAAAAAATGTCTAAAACTTAATTTTATTCTGGCTCTCTTACAGTTTGGTCGTGGACAGGTTTGACTGTAGGCCTATATTATACCAGTACCAGTATTTGAATAGTAGGCCTACATTCTGTGATATATGTTCTTAGCTGTTCTTGTTTTTAGCAATTGTGCTATTTGTTGCCTGTATCTTTATGTTTTCATTATTGTAATGAATTCCCAAAAATTTCAACTTGTACTCTTTAACCTCTGCAGATCCTCATGAGCAAAAATTGTTCCAGAAATTTTCAACTTACCTGGCAACTTTGAACAACCAGTCTGACACTTTCAACCCAAAGAGTCATGGTAAGATTCTTGTGCAGTGTTGCCAAAGTCAATTTCTAAGCCTTATAAAAAAAAAAATATGTTTAAGCTTTTCTATGAATCTACCTTTTTCAGAGATTTCTAAAAGTTTAAAACCCGTTCTCAAGATGAGTGTGTTTGTCTGTTACAGAGTTCAAAGAAAACTTCCTGAGACTGAAAAACATTGTGATGGTTGGTGGACCTGATGATGGAGTCATTACACCATGGCAGTCTAGGTATGTGCCTCTAGGTGTGAGGGTCTTAACTCTCTATAACCCCGGGGGGACGATGGGAGCGTCCAGTGAAACTCGTATGGTCCCCAAGTGGACTGTCCCAGCGTCCCCTGAGATCGTAGAGTACATGAAGCATTACTGCTAATGTTATCTCTTATGAATCCTAATAGATTATTTTTTACTTGGAAGTGATAGATAAATGTATGAACTACTTCCTCTTTCACGTTGACACAGTTTTAGCTCTTTTATGAATATTTTGCATGTATACCTCATTATGTGTTTCACAAGATCTTGAAAAAATTCCATTGAAAATGTAGACAATAATTCTGGGGTTAAAAAGTTAAGCTGGGTTCTGCAGTGATATTGTGAATGAATGAGTGGTAAATTGAATGAATATTTGATAAGTGAATTCATAAGTGAGCAACTGAAGGGAAAAAGAATTTTGTCGGGAGAGTTGAACTTGCATCTAGAGGGAATAAGAAAAGTGCTTGTTACCTTTTGCTCTAGCACAGATCAGCTCAACATATCTCTTCAGTTTTATCCTTACTATTTGCATGATTAAGCTGTGGGGGATTTTAAAAGATTCTGCTTTCCTTTTTGTCACATACAGTTGCACACACACTTAGCAAAATCGGCGGGAAGCGGAAATCTTTTCTTTTTGTACGAATTTTGCTATGTACTTGTTATGAATACAATGAATATACATGGTGTGTAATGAAAAATTCCATGCAGGAAAATCTGTTTGCTGTGTGCATGTTGGCTATGTGCATGCTAGACTATATTTCATTCTTCATTTCCTTTTGTGTTTTTTGTTCTCACAGTCAGTTTGGTATGTACAATGCCTCAGAGAAAGTGCTGCCCATGGAAAAGCAAGAAGTGAGTTTTGTTACACATTCCGCAATATGTAGGTAAATCTTAGTTCCACTGTTGGTTACAAGGATCTAGTCCCAATGAAGTTTAAGTAGCTGAAAGATGTACTTTAAAATCCCCTTTAACTCTTTATCATCAGAGAGGTTTTTCCTACTATGTCGGATGCGTCTCCTCACATCACTAAATTGGTCATTGAATGAAATCAATTGAACCTATTTTGATAGTTCCTCGTCTAATAAAAGAACTCCCGGTAAGAGAAACTTATTTTCAGTTGTTACCAAATATTACTAATAAAAATAATAGATAGCATTTATACTGCGCATTTCCATTTTCTAAAAAATGCTCAGTGCGCGTTACAATCATAAAAATATCACATTTTAAAAAATGAATAGGGGGCTCTCGTGGCCTAGAGGTTAAAGTGTTGGCCTCTCATTCAAAGGTCCCGGGTTCGAATCCGGATAGTGACTGACAAATTTTCTTCTCTAAAATTTTTCCTTTCACCTCCTTTCCTGCTCTCTTGCAATGTTCTGTCGTCTGCTTTCATTTCCACTTTCTGCCCCCACCCCCTCACCTCCTTTGCCCCCTCCTCTGGGCTCCTGACTCTTTCTGCAGCCTTTCTACTGCTACTCCTTGGCTGCTCTTTACTGCTGTCTTTCTGCCACACCCCTGATCTTCTGGTTGGAAAGATCTACACCTAGCCTTCTCGGACAAGGGCGAAAAATGTCGGAGGGCCTGTGTGCAAGTTGCGCACGTTAAAGATCCCATGGTGGTCTAAAATCGATAAGAGTAGGCTTCGGCCGCCACCCGGGCAAAATTCAAAATTTCCTACCAACTGAAAATATTAGGTGTGTCCCGCGCACTTATATTACCTTATGCAGTTGCGAGCGTTGTAAAACTTTTTACAAAAACAAAAAAAGCAACCAAAAAAACAAACAATGAATGTACATGTGTGTATGTAAAACATAATATGATGAATGTATGTGTATTTGTCATGTATAAAAAATTTCTATGAGAAAATTAGTCTGGCAGTGAGCCTGGCAATGCATGCACTAAATGCACTGAAAAAAATGTAGAATGCACATGGTCACAATAAAACTCTCTCTCTCTCTCTCTCTCTCTCTCTCTCTCTCTCTCTCTCTCTCTCTCTCTCTCTCTCTCTCTCTCTCTCTCTCTCTCTCTCTCTCTCTCTCTCCCTCTCCCTCTCCCTCTCCCTCTCCCCCCCCCTCTCTCTCTCTCTCTCTCTGTAAGGCATACTCATGCATGTATCAAAATAAGTAAAAGTTCATCGTTATATCAAGTATGCTCTTGTGAATAAGTAATGCTTCAGCTGTATTTTGAAAATGTGATTATTGGGCCATGGGGACTGGGTAGAGAGAATGAACGCGGGGAACGACTGGTAGAATGGTGCAGAGAAAATAATTTTATGATATCAAACACCTGGTATGAAAATCACTCAAGAAGAAGATACACTTGGAAGGGTCCTGACTATAGAAGTAGAAATCAAATAGACTTCATACTTTTTCAGAAATGTTTTAGAAACACAATAAAATCATCTAAATCAATGCCTGGAGCAGACTGTGATAGTGATCATGTACCAGTCATGTATAAAATCCGGATACGACTAAAGAAACTCAAAAAGTCAAAGTATGAACATAAATTTGACATAGGTCTTTTAAAGACAAATCAAGAAATGAAAGAACGCTTCTCCATAGATGTAAGAAATAAATTTCAAGCTTTGGAAAACATTACTAAATCGGAAGAACTATGGAGGAAAATGAAAGACTCAATAATGGAAGCTGTGGAAGAAAATATCCCCCCGAAAGCTAAAAAAGCAAATAAAAAATGGATGACCCAGGACATATTAAACCTAATGGAAGAGAGAAGAAAGGCAAAATCAAATGTAGAAAAGTACAACATCTTAAACAGGGAAATAAAGAAAAAATGCAACGAAGCAAAAGAAACATGGATAAACGATCAGTGTCAACAAATAGAGAAGAACCAAAACAAAGACAGCAAATACATGCATTCAAAAATCAAAGAAGTAAGTGGGATAAAAGGATGCTCAAATACAGGATGCATAAGATCAAAGGGAGGGGATATTTTAATGGACAACGGGGATGTCTTAAACAGATGGTCAGAATACATAGAAGAACTTTTCAAAGATAATAGAGGAGGAAAACCCGGTAATAAAGAATGAAATAAATGGACCTCCAATACTGAAAGCAGAAGTACAAGCTGCCATTAGGAAAATGAAACAAGGAAAAGCCACAGGGCCAGATAATATTCCAGTTGAAGTGATTGTCGCGCTAGAAGAACTAGGCACTGAAATAACAACAAAGCTCCTAAATGCTTTTTATGACAGCGGTGAGATCCCAGAAGATATGATGAAGTCAGTTTTTATAGCTTTACCTAAAACACCAGGTGTCACTGAGTGTGATATGCATAGAACAATTAGCCTTATGAGTAATTTGACAAAAATATTGCTGCGAGTAATAATGGGAAGATTGAGAAGAAGTGTAAGACCAGAGGTATCTAAAACGCAATTCAGCTTTATTTCTGACAAGGGCACCAGAAATGCTATATTCACCTTACAAATGTTAATGGAAAGATGTATTGAAGCACAGAAAGATCTGTATTTATGCTTCATAGATTATTCAAAGGCGTTCGACAAAGTTAGACATGATGAGCTATTTAAAATACTGGAAAAGCTAGACATAGATGGAAAAGATCTAAGAATTATCAGAAATTTGTACTGGGACCAAAACGCTGCTGTACGAATTAATGGAGAATACAGGGAATATAAGCAGATTAGGCGAGGAGTGAGGCAAGGATGTGTTATGTCAACAGACCTCTTTAACATGTACAGTGAAACAATCCTTAGAAACATAGAAGAATGCCCAGGCCTCAAAGTTAATGGAGAAAATATTAATAACATCAGGTATGCAGATGACACGATTTTAATAGCAGGCTCCGAAAAGGACCTTCAAATGCTTCTAGATACTGTTGTAAAAGAAAGTGAACGTAAAGGATTATTGTTGAATGTAAAGAAAACAGAATACACAGTAATATCCAAAACAGCAGCAAATCCTAGTTGTAATCTCATTAGCAAAGCTGAAAAGATGCCAAATCTTCAGCAGAAATAAAAAGGAGAACTGCAATGGCTAAGGCTAGTTTCAATAAAATGAGCCCAATCCTGAAAAATAGAAACATATCAATGAACACCAAAATGAAAGTCCTGAAATGCTATGTTTGGTCAACCCTTCTATATGGCTGTGAATGCTGGACAATCACTAAAGACAGTGAAAATAAAATAGAGGCAACAGAAATGTGGTTTCTTAGGAGACTGCTAAGAGTATCGTGGAAGGAAAAGAAATCAAATGAGGTAGTGCTTGATGAAGCCCACGTGGGACGCTCAATGTTAAAAACAATCAGGAAACGACAAATGCAGTTTTTGGGACACCTGAATAGACATAAGGGTCTTGAACATCTAGCTCTCACTGGCAAAATAGAGGGCAAGCGAGGCAGGGGTAGGCCCAGAACAACATACTTAGGGAACCTAAACAAATGGGTAACAGGGAAAGATCAGGGAAACGTAGCTTTTCTGAGAGCATCTGAGCAAAGGAATGAATGGAAAATCATGATCGCCGATGTCTGTCGCAGATCTGGCACTGGATGATGATGATGATGATTATTAGGGGCACTCCTTCTTTAATATAGAGAGTTGGTTCCATACATGGGGACCAAAGAAGGAAAAGGAACACTCACTGTATTTAATATAGTGTTGTCGTCATCGTCAAGTAATGTGACCAGACTGTTGACTGTGGATTATCTGCAAAGTGGTTCTAATCACAAGCCTCTGAGAGTGGCTAGCCGCAGATTCAGAGTTGCAATATAGTTACTGACCTGATGTCATAATCTTCATAATGTAAATTTTTTAAGTGAATAGAAAAATTGTGTGTATGTACTGAATTTTTTAAAACCTTGACCCCAATAAATTCTGAGTATAGAAAACCAGTCCTGTCCTCATACTCATTCAAACAAATGTACCGTGGTTTGTTTTGGCTGAACTTACACATGCAGCATCACCAAAGCCCACAAAATTGTAGACTTGTACAGCTCAAACACCTTTGTTTCCAGTAATGAAACAGTGCTCACAACTTTCTGTTTGACCTTGTTTTTTCAATGCATAGATAATTACTTGTTTTTTTGGGTTTTTTTGTTAAAATATTTTTTCAGTGGTACCTGAACGATGCCTTTGGCCTGCAGACTTTAGCAAAGAGGGGAGGTCTTCATTTGCACACCATTCCTGGCATTCATCACGTCAGATGGCACAAGGAGTTACAAATCTTTAAATGCTGTGTTCTGCCTTGGCTTACATAGGTTGTAATTCATAGGTAAGGTATTGTAATAAGACATTCCTTTTGTTTGGTTTAGAACCACCTCGGTTTACCGAATGATAAAGATTCCATTCCTTTTGCCACTGCAGATTTATACCAAGAATCCTTCTCATTCAGAAAAGAGAATATAATATCAACTTTACTTTCAAAACTTTCCGAGTTTCTGAAGAAGAATACCACCTGCTATAATTTTACCTGCCTTTGTATTTAGAATTTATCTTTACACATGTCTATATTTTTGTGAATTTGGTATCCCATGTTTTGGAAAAACATTAGGCTGCAAATTATGGACTTGTGTTCTTTATCTGTTTTTAAAAAAAATCTCTCTAATGTCGATGGGGGTGGTTAACTCAAAGTGCAAGATGTGCACCTCATTTCTTCTCTCCTGTTCGAATCTTTTTATGATAAAAACAAAAGTTTCCCTGTTTTTCATATAGATGTGCACTTAATTTTTTACCCCTCTAGAAGTGATTTATTTTCGTGCTCAAACAAGAAGAAAGTTGCCCAGAATTATATTCTACATTTAGCAGCATGAGTTTTTATTATTCAACTTACAGATAGAAATGTTTGCGTTGTTTTTTCCCAAAGTTTTCCTATACGAGAATCATACGCCTTGTCTCAATGTGCAGACCACAATACCTTTACATTTTATTTTTCTCTTTATGTGGGTTTTTTTCTGGTAAGCTTTAAAATGTTAAAGCCCATGCATTTATGTCAATTTAGATGTTACCTGTTGAAAAATTTCATGAGAGATCTATGATGGTAGACAAGTTGAGATCCATGACAACGTACAATTAGAAATCTTATTGTAGATACACCATGAGTTCTGAAATAATTCTGTTTTGTGTCTTACATACTTTGATAATATTTTTGATCTAGTAATATTATATGCAATTTTGATTTGCTTCAAGCAGAATTTCAGGGTCTGTATGTGTAGAATTTGATAGACTTTAACATTTTTTAGCAACATTGTGAAAAAAAATGTTTTAGGATGCAATGTGGGTCTTTACGAAATTGAAGGGACATGAAGTCTTTTAGAATTTTGTTTCCCCTTTATATGTAAGGTTCACATCCTTTGTGTTTCCTTTAGTTCTGAAAATCTTTTTACGTCTAACACCCCCCCCCCCCCACACACACACACACAGTCCATAATGGTGAAGCAGTGTTTACTTGTCCAGGCTCAAGCCTCCTCCATGATAAAATTTTGAAGACCTACTTGTTAACCCCTTGGCTGCTAACTGTATAGATGCACCCCACATGCTAAGGAAAATTCTACAGTGCACAAGACTTCACAGGTCACAATCTTTAACTGACAGTTGTTCACTTATTATAAGAGACAGGTTGGCAAAACGTTTACCTTTATAAAAAGATAAATGATAAGATAATTTCATCCATTGACAAAACCTGTATAGAACAAGCAGTAATGATGAAAAGAACTTGAAAGCACTAAGACTGAACCAGCTCTCCAATTCTATGCGATGACTCAGTCTCGCATGATGTGTATGAGAAAGACAACTCGCCTTAGCTCAGGCTACACGTCAAACTATATATAATCAATAGAGAGAGAAATGAAGAGATGGTTTTATTCACAGACAAAACTCGAATAGAACAGGCCGTAATGATGTAAACAGGTATAAAACGCCTAGACTGAACAAGTATTACAAGTCTACGTGTCAGCTCTCTCTCTGACATGATATATGGAAGACAAATGACACACCTCGCTTTGTTTTTGGTTTTGAACCCGCATCCGCCATCCAATAGTCTATATATGTTGTTGTTTTCAAATCCCTTTAGCTGTGAGCATTTCACTCTTGGCAGCGCAATGCCTCCCTCAAGTAACCACATGTCCTTGTCATCTGGTCAATGCCAGAGTAAAGCAGGCTTTGTGAGTCTGTAGGTGTGTGTGTAGGAGCCTGCGTCGAAGAACTGCCAAGTTTGGGCTGTGAAAGAAAAGATGTTCAACGGTCTCCTCGTTGTAGTCACAGTATCTGCAATGGGGTTCCCACAAGGGGTTAATTCTGTTTATGTGCTTGTTGGTGTGTAAGTGTCCTGTGCGGGCTCTGAAGATCAATGTCTGATCGGCTCTACATAAAAGATTCTAAGGGTCTTTGGGGTTGGGTTTGTCCATGCGTTGGCCCATCTGTTTAGCCACTCGTCTCTGCTTTTAGCTTGGATGATCCCTCTGTAAAAAGGCGGCTGTGTCTGTCTGGGGCAGGCTTGCTCCAGTCTTTGATAGCTGGTCTGCAGTCTTATTCCTTGGTACTTCAGAATGACCAGGCACCCACATAGTCTATATACAGTGAAACTTGGATTCAACGAGCTGGAATTCAACGAGAACTTGGATTCAACAAGAGGAGATGGATTTCCCTTGGGTTTTTTTCTTCTTTAAAATCAATAAAAGTAACCCGGATTCAACAAGCACTTCAGTCAGCAAGCTCGGATTCAACGAGGTCACTTACATGATGAACAGCCCCCGGCAGACGTGGCTTCACTCATTTTTCTCCCACAATGAAACTGATCTATTCCTGGAAACCATCAATTGCACCTGCATCGTGAACCATTATTCGCTTAGCAGATTGCATGCGACCAATCAGCGGCCTTCTTTAGCACATGTGTTGTTGGCAAGCGTGTGTCGGGGTTGGATGGGTGTTCTGCACATGTATGACTGTGTGTGCGTTTCGGGGGGCAGCATCAGTCCGGGCGTGGAACATCGCAGATCAGATACAAACACGTCAGTCTTAGAGGATCTTATGCATACTGACAGTCTTTGTTTTCCCATTGCTTTGTCAGATTCAAACAGCAGGCTTGTTCAGTATTTTGTGGTTCTGAACAGTGCAGGAAGAGAAAAGATAAATTATGATAAGAGAAGCACATTGCATTGGATAAAACTGATAATGTGGATCTTTCAGGTTTTCATTTTTTTGAATATAAATTCAGTTTTTCACTTTAAATGTATCTCAATCTTACATAATAATTTTATAATCTGAAAAATAAAATGAAACAGAAAGAAGAATTTGATTTCATTTTTTAGACAATATTATGTCAATCATTTTTCTACTACTAGACTACTTGTTTCTAATAACTGTATTCTGAAAGGAAATCATGTCTTTAGTTTGAATATTTTTGGTAAACACTGTGTAGAGAGTATATAAGTTTTTGGTTTTTTAGTTTTTGATATATAACTTTTGTCTGGTTTTACAAAATAAATCTTATTTAGATTTTTCATCCTGATAGCCTGAAAGCTGGAACTTTCTTGTCTAGTAACACTGTCTCATTTGTACAAGTTGTGCAGAACGTGTGTTCAAATCAAGGAGTGCTGATGATAAAACATTCCACTGGGTTTTTTTTTTATGTTTCTACACGTCAAATTTTGACTGCAAAGTTGTTTAAGCTCTTCTCAATGCCCTGTTGCATAAGACCCTAAATATGTACATCTTAGTTGTATGTTTATGTTGACCCTCGTTGTCCAGAAGGATTGCTGCCAAAAATAATGTCCTGTGATTATGATGTTGTCCTGATTTACACCATTTTATGTCCTTTAACATCTAACTTTTCTAGTATTGATCAAAACCACATTACTAACTATCTCTAAAGACTTGTCACAATTTCATTGGCCTGTAAATCTGTAGCAGTAAGTGAATTGGGAAGGTTGGCAATGGGATTTCAAGTTGGAATATATTGTATTCAAAGCCAATTGTAATGGTTTTGTGAAAAAGAAGTTGACTGTTTTATATTGCTTTTGTTTGTTTTTTATTATTATACATTAAAAATTATTGATGTCCTGTTGGAAAAGGTCTTTCACTTTGTTGGTTGATGTTATTTTGATATATATCTATTCAAAGAAATCCATTTTTATGAGGATGCATTTATTATTATTAAATAATTAGATATTGGACATCATGATATTATCATTCATGTAGAATTGTACCGGTTGTTTGCTCAAAATTAATGTACGTTATTCCCAGTGAAGATGTGCTCTTCTATAGTGCGGTAAAAAATTTATGACGTAACTTATCATGGATTATTTCCTCAATTATCGAACTTTGACTCTCCAGCTTTTGCACAACGTGTATCAATTTGTCGTAACAGATCAACATTCTTGTAAACACCTGTTAACTTTATTCTATAAAATTCCTTTATAAACACTAATTTTAAAAAATCCCAGTGGATGGCTTCTACAGATTTTATAAGTTTACATCTTATGAGCTGGGATGATATGGCTTTTAAAAGCAAATTTGTCTAGTGTTTCTAATCATGACACTACATTTATTGAATGCATGTTTTTGAGAATCTTAAGTGCAAAAAAGTGTTTGCAATAAAACATATTTTTTGTTACACCTTTTGCTATTAAAGAGTGTCATTGGTTGGCAGTGATGTAGGCCATATGCGTATTCAAAATGTGTGCTAGAAGCAAAAAGTGCTGTGATTACTTCTATTTTTCTGCATCACTGACATGTGTAGTACCGGTATTTTATATAAATTTATGAAGAAACACTTTTTTTATCTTGCCTAAATTGTTGTGGAAAAATAAGATCAAGTTAAAACAGACTGATACAAACTGCTGTGCAAAGTATAGGGAACATTGATTCACCCATTAAAAGGATATTTGAGGATAAGTTGCGCCACAAATTTTTGACTGCACTGTAGTATTACATGTTGAAGATTTGGGGGGTTTTTTGTTAACTGCTGAATGGAAAGTTATGCGTTGGAAATATGAGCTGAGGATTCCACATGCACTTTGGGGAGGATGAAACAAGTGCTTCCTAGCTACAAGTGTATAAGAGTATCAGAATTTCAGGGAGTACTTATCTGGCTCATGCTCAGAGAAACTCTCTGAAGTCTTACTCTTGGAAATAATTGTGCCTTACTGAAACAACATCAGAAGCTTTTCAGCAAATTGTCCTATATCTGATTGTAAAAGACAAGAAAAGTGCTATTCTTTTACATGTGAAATGAAATAAGTGTTTTCTCAAGGATTATTATTCATGCAGCAGTATATGATCATTAAAGCCAGTCAAGATTCCTGAATGATTTTAGTTTGATGCTTTTCATTCTTGGTCATACTGAAAAGTAACATTTATTATATCATAGTATAATTTCTGTGTAATTTGTTTTTGATGCAAAAGAATTTCCAGAGGATTATGCCTTTCCAACTTACTTTTTTTTCAGCAGAAAATTTAATTTTTGCATTAGGTGCATGTACTTGCTTGGGTATTTGTTAAAGTTAAAGGTAATTGAGTCAAGGGTAAATTTTCATTCCTGTACATTCTACCCCACTTTTACAAAATTCACAAAAAAGTGCAGTTTTTGTTTCAGTATCTTTATGTCCAATATTATGTCAGGGAATTATATATGTATATATAGCCTACAGACTTGCCTCTTATCTTTGGCGCGATGCTTTTATATTGTTTTGTATCTTTCATTAAATATTTACAATCTTAACCGCATAAAGTAAATTGCTTAAACATGGGAGGTCCAAATGTCTGAGTTTACTCAGTTATCAGATATGACATTGATGTGAGCCTTTAAAACTCTGCAAAAAGTATGCAGGTTTAGAAATGCCCTTCAGGGATAATAAAAGATCATCAAAGAGGGACGAAGTACTCATTGGAAATTTTCGCTTCTGTGACTAAACAGGTCATTATCAGAAAACTGCGTTTTGTGTTACGCTAATACTTTGAAAACAACTTAATTCATTTTGTTTTTTCTCTTGTTATGGTTGCAAATAAACAGAATAAAATGATGAAAAGTCTCATGTGTGCATTTTATTCAGGTTGATGTGAGTTTGCTTAAATTATGAAATAAAGTGTAGGCCTATTGTATGTTTGTGTTTGTGCTGGCATGTGTATGTATGAATTTGTGCACTGATGAGTTTAGGAGTTTATTTGTGTGTGTGTATCCCATCAGTATGTTCCTAAATTTGTTTCTTAATTATTGTTTTTCATTGTATGATTGCTGGCATGGTCTCAAAGTAATTTATTATTTTTGATGTGAGGTTTTGTTTGCTTTTTGGGGGATGATGGGGGTGGGGGGTTGTTTTGCTTACTGGAAAAAAAAGAGGGGGGAGAGGGGGTAAGTGGTTATGAGTCATTTTGAAGGTGAAGCTGGGACCTTGGTATAATAGCCTGACAGTCAGGCTGAGACTGAGATTACTGAGAGACAAATGTTGAACAACTTCAATATTTGGATTCTATTTATTTTGACATTGAGGCTCTAGAAGAGCCTGTTCGACTATCTGGTAAATTGACTGACTATGAATGCAATGGGTAACAAATGTGTAACAGGGAAAGATTAGGCTCTTTTTTAAGAGCATCCGAGCAAAGGAATGAATTGAGAACCATGATCGCCGATGTCTGTCGCAGATCTGGCACTTGATGATGATGCATTGCGTGCAGGCTAGACTAATCAGTCTTGGAAAGTGGGGTTGTAGATCGTTGGGAGATCCTTCCAGTATTCGTCCAGACGTCTCTTGAATGTGTCCACCGATGGAGCTGACACCACTGACTCGAGATGATTGTTCCAAATAACATTCACCCAATTTTCAAAGAAGTTTGCCCTCACATACTACCTGCTTCTTTGCTTCTGGAGCTTCTCTGAGTTACCACGGAGTTGTGCGGTGGTAGCCTTTGTAAAAGCTGGTCTTTCGGTGATGTAGTAGCCTTTGATGTACTTATATGTGTGGCGTGCTGACAAAATGAGTTACTTCTCGCAGTCCACAGAAGGAGATATTTTCAAAAAATCAACACCGAGGTCAAATTAGTAGATCTTCTATTGATTCTCTATTTTTTATGTATAACATGCCTCTTATTATTTCATACTTATAAATTGTAAAACTTCACTTATAAGCATGATGTTGCTACTTCCATAAGACTTGAATCCGAGAAGTAACTCATTTTTTCAGCACACTTCACATAGGCTATATGTTTCGATCATATCACCACATAACCTACGATGTTCTAGGGATGGAAGCTTTAGTTACCTCAGTCTTTCAGAATAAGTGTTTTCTTTGAGGTGACTCAGTATTTTGGTAGCCCACCTTTGAACTTGTTCGATTTCACTACATAGTCCTTCCAAGTCAAAAGGTTGCCAAACACAGTGTGCTCACTCTAATAACGGCCTCATTAAACTCTTGCAGAGCAAAACAAACATCCTCAGAAAGGTAGTCAAGAGATTGCCTGATAAGTCCAACAATATGATTCGCTTTTGATGTTATCTGGGCTACGTGCTCCTTGAAGGTTAGTTTATCGTCGACCACAACTCCTCAGTCTTTCTTTCTCTTTGCTATATTCAGTTTGTGTCTTGAGGTGCAACCATCCATTGTTTGGTCCATAAAGTATTCAGTATCATTGTCTTTGCTGACTTTTAGGACACAACATTTGTACGGGTGGAAACGAAGTAACCACCGCAGAGACCATTCTTGGAGAGTTTCCAAGTCATCATGAAAATCTTGCGGCCCATTCACGGTGTCACTTCTAACGTAAAGCTTTGTGTCATCAGCGAACAATTTTAGCCGTTTTTTTAATGTCCTGTGGGAAGATTGTTAATGTAAACAAACAAAAAAGAGGAGGCTTAGAACTGGTCCTTGCGGGATTCCACTTGTAACTTCAGCTTCCTCGGCTGATCGTGAACTCGTTGTTTTTTGCTGGCCAAAAAGTCTTACTTTAACCAATCATTGCTTTAACTTAACCCACTTGAGTACCTTCCCTTTAGCACCGCATGCTGGGAGATATAAGTAAACCAAGAACTTCAGAATTTAGGCAAATTCATATATATGAATATTTGTATTAGCCTTGGAGTTGATTTATTTGAATGTGAGAATGTAGTATGTCTACCTTTCCAGCCACTTATGAGTATGAAACACTCTGAAGTAACCTTTGAACATGAGCAGGGGCGTGTGTAAGTTAGCAGACAAATACAATATTTTAAAAAATCATTTATTTCTGTACTTGCGTACCCAACCGTAAGCAATTAATCAAATTGCAGCTGTTTGTTTGTAGCCTATGTGTGTGTGTGTGTGTGTGTGTGTGTGTGTGTGTGTGTTTTGTTCTGATTTATTTTGTTCGTTTGTTGGTTTTGTTGTTGTTGTTGTTGTTGTTGTTGTTTTGTAGGGAGGGGGGTGGGGGGAGCTCAAATTTCTATACTACATTGCTTTTCTAAAGCATGTATGCGGAGGGAGCTCTATTCAATTTGTGGGTGTGCACCATTATTACAGTCAGCAGAGACCTAATCCTGCCAATATTGTTGACAGCCTAAATTCAAAAGCAAGAAATGTGTTTTGACTGTGGTTTAATGGGCCTGTTTGAAAGATGGCAGTGGGAAGAAAGGGAACATTTGTAAACCGATTTTTTTTCTTTTAACTTACGTTTGAGTTTGGGTATCATGTCAAAGATCATAATTTTCTATTCTAATCCAGATCTAGATAAACTATGTAACACACACAAAAAACTGCTTCTTCAAAAATCAACATAAAAGTCATGAATAAATATGTTTATAATAAACTAAAAGTTGTATTTTTTGAAAATTGTGAAGCATGCAATAGCCTATCGATCTCAGGTTTACAGTACATTAAAAAAAAATCCATTTCCCCCAAGGAGGAGAGAAAAGGCCGATATATGGGTTTTGGGAATGTAACAACAAATCACACCAGTTTCTGGGGCTTTTGCCCCCCCCCCCCCCCCCCCCACACTCTTACATTTGTTTTACTTTTGCCCCCCCCCCCCCCCCCATAACAGTACATTGCTCCCTTATGATAAAAATAATATGACATTTTTATCGCGCAAATCTGTGAAACAATCATTGTTCCATGCGCACTGCATAATATTCATGAAAAACATGCATACACACATACATGCACATAATAATATATGCACTAAAATATAAGAGGTGCCACGACATGGTGGGATCAGGCGCTCGTCAGTTTTGAGGCATACGGAGTTATTGATCTCATCTTAAAACCTGTCCATTTACCTTCCTTTTGATAAAAACGATATATCCATCTATGCTGAATAGAAGTCGAAATATTTGCGATTGAAGGAGGTGTGGGTCACCTGATTTCAGGGGCACAGAATTCTACACTAAGTGTAGAATTCTGTGTTCAGGGGTAAATTTAGTGAGAAAACGACCGCCAAAGTTTGATAACTTCAAGAGAGCCTTTAAAACTGAAAAATCACAAATTTTGTGCATGTAATGAACGTTTTTCAGTAAAATTCGCATGGAAATGTGTTATTATATGGACGAAAAAGGTGTTTAGCAGAAAAACAAAAATTCTATAAAAGTTCCCAAACCTGCGGGAAAATGCCATTTTTTTCACTTTCATTATTTTGACGAGCGCCCGATTTCACCACGCTGGAGTAAATCATTCAAGCAAATATTGCATACTCTTTCTTACTAATAAGGAAAAAATTGAGACTCATGTCAATGACAAAAGTGCCTTAATTACAATTAAAACAAGTTACACAGTGAAATTCTGATAAAGTCTACACCCCGGACAGAAAAAAGTGTTAACTTTGAGCAAGGTTGACTTTTTCCATTGTACTACACATACGGGCCATTGAAAATTGAAGATGACAGCTACAAAATTACAAAGTACCTGGCAATAAACAAGATGTAATCTCAATTTCAGAGAGTATAATTCTGAAGTTGTCACCAAAACAAGAGATAATGAAAGAACAAAGTAATTGGAGGTGTGTACACCACTAGCTCAGGCGAAATATCTCTTCTTAATTAAACGAATTCATCTAGGGATTTAGCCCCAAATTGTAGACTTTACACAAGCTTAACACTCAAGCGGTTGACTGTATCAGAAACACAATTAGATCTACTTAAAATTACTTGAACAAAGAAGGTAAACAATGGGACCACAATGAAAAGTTGACTGTAAGCAAGAGTTGACTTTAGGCAAGTTGACTTTATTAGGAATCCACTGTATCTGTTATTACTGATCATTATGCTGAAAACAAAAAGTGAAATTAGGTATCACCAACAAAGGCAGTGTTCATCAAAAATATTTTTTCACCCCACAAAAGTGTATTATTACATTAGTTCAAGACCCCTCCCCCCTTTCTTACACTTTTCTTACAAGAGCCAAAGACACGCCCCCCCATGCGTAAGTTTATATTTGAACGGCCCCTTAGGCTATTCGAATTTTTTTCGTATGCACTTGCGAATAGAAAAATCAAAACATGGAAGAAGCCCCTCTCATCACGAAACGAAGACAACACATGCACGCCAGCCAGCAGTAGATCTACACTGCACACCCGCGGCTTGTACTGTAGCCAAGAGATCTACTGTGCTATAGTGTTGATCTAAACTAAATAGGATTACAACATACACACACTGTCCGTACGCTGCACACTTATGATTTGCGGCTGTCTGTCATAGTAATCTTAGTAGATCTAGACTAGACTCTAGATAGTCTAGATTAAATCTAGACTCTAGAGATATTGGGTAATAATAAGAAAGTAAGTGTTCGGCTCGGTTATGTTTTGCCTGTGTTTTTCAGTGTTTTTTTTATATTCATTTCATTCACTTGACTTCTATGAATGTCAGTCGACCCACTGCCCCTAGATCTAGATCAGGCAGACGTGTGCTGCAACCGGATTTGACACTATACAGGGAAAGGATTCTCGTCCTGGACCAAGCTCGTTTCCTCTGCGTTATATTCGACAAAAAACTCAATTCATACCACAAACGCCAAAGTTTCAAAGACCTTCGTGTGAGGTGCCAGAAAGCGCTTAACGCTTTGAAAATGCTATCGCATCCGGAGTGGGGCGGAGACTCAAAACACCTTCTCCACTGTAAAGTTACCTGGCGGTCCGATGAGTCTGGTCTGTCGGGGGGCCCCCGTCCAAGATTAATGTTCCCTCGTCGTGGTCCTGAGTTCGACTGAATACCTCAGTGAGTCTCTCAGACGATGTCTCTCTATTTTGCGCCGGACTCTTGACGTCATCCAAGGGCGTGCCACTCCCCTAATAATCTTGTCCCCACAGTAAAGATAAGAGTCATGTCCCTTGACATCTCCCTTGTCCGGTCCAGGCTTGACTACGGCTGTCAAGTCTACGGATCGGCAGAACCACACATCCTGAAAATGCTAGACCCAGAACAAAACCAAGGACTCCGCCTCGCTCTGGGGGCTTTCCGCACTTCCCCGGTGGAGAGCCTCCAGGCCGAGGCAAACATACCATCACTCTCACTCAGACGCACACAACTCTCACTACAATACGCAATTAAACCGAACTCACCACCAGAAAATCCAGCGCACAACTGCATTTTTAAAACAAACCCAGAAATCATAAACAAATTCCAAAACAACGAAAAACTCATCAAACCCTTCGGCCTCAGAATCCTTGAAGACCTCAAAAACGTACACTTTTCCAAACAAGACATCCAACAATTTCTTTTCCCCGACCTCCCTCTGTGGCACCTCACCAAGGCAAAAGTAGACTTACAGCTGACCACATACAACAAAGAAAGCACAAACCCCAAAACTTTTAAAGCAGAATACAAAAAACTTATAGATGATTTATACCCCGGTGCGGAGCTCATCTTCACGGATGGCTCCAAAAAAGAGAATTATGTGGGCGCAGCGGCCCTACCTTCCAACAGTACACGCCAGAGAAGACTCCATCCTGAAGCCTCCATTTTCTCTGCGGAGGCCACTGCCATTGACATGGCACTGGACTCCGTAGAAAATTCTCCTAACAAATCTTTCCTTATCCTTTCTGACTCTCTGTTTTGCATCACCTCACTCACAGACTACACACTCCTACACTTAAAAATAGTTAGGCTACAACAGAAAATTCACACCCTATCTGTACCTAGCTATGTGGGCATCCGAGGAAACGAGCAGGTAGACGACCTGGCGAAGAAATCCTTTCATCCCTTCTGTTGGGATCAACGACAAACACTCTCCCACAGACTGACTTAAAAAATTTTATAAAGTAAAAAAGTACACCTCCAGTCTGTGGGAGAGCCACTGGAAAAAACAGAAAAATAACAAACTCTGTATGGTAATATAAAACCCAAACTGGAACCGCGAAATCCTGTGGACCTCTCTAGAGGAGACGAAGTCATTTTTACTCGATTGCACATCGGACACACGGCCCTGACGCACAAATACCTCCTACAGGGAGATGAGAAGCCGTTCTTTGTCGGATGCGACACAGATTTTACCATTAGACACATTTTAACCGAATGTCTACACTTTGGAGAGATCCGAAGGAAATATTCAAATGCAAGAAATTGCAAGACATTTTTTCCGTCGTTGGTCCCAACAGAATCTTGGATTTTATGAAGGCCATTGGTCTTTATGGGAAATTATAAAATGAAACAATATTGTTAAAAATGTTATTATTTATAAGAGTTGTTTTCAATTGAAAATATGTTTACACCTAAATTTAATATTTTAACGTTTTAAAGTCTAATAGTTGACCAACCGTGCATTGAACTATTGCGAATGCAACCAACTTGTGTTTCGCGCACTCATATGACCTTATGCAGTTGCGAGCGCCGTAAAACCCCATACTAAACAACTAAAAACTAAACAAGTTTTCAAAATGATAGAATAGACTTCCTGTTAGCAGACTCGAAAGAAAATATAGCACTGAGAGACGATTTTTGGTCATTTCAGCCCTTTTTTTGTTCCCTTCGAAACGTAAAAATGAGAAGAAAAGCTCTCCCCCGACTTCAGTATATGTCTCATATTTTCACTTCTATATTAGGTACATATATACATGACTTTCAGCATTTCTTTGTATTACTTGAGGCAACCTACTTGGGAAGTTTGAATCATGCTGTTGTTGTACTTTTTGAGATATGACCTTTAAAAGATGGAAAATTGTTGATTTCATATGACGCCTTCGATATTGCATAATCACTTTTAGAAACCCAAAACTAATATAATTGGAATAAATCTTCAATATATTGTATCCCCATATGATAGATTATTTTTTAACCTTCAGTTTGATGGGCCATAAGATATGGTTTCTGCGTGTTTAGTTGGACGTTTTGACATTTTCCTTTGGTGGGGTAGGGGCGTAAAATAGATCAGGGAAAAGCCCTGGGCCAGTGGTTGATTTTGGCCGGGTAGGAAAAGAGTTAAAATTGTAATGAATGTTTCTTTGTTTCAAAGGTACAATGGATCTTCTTCCTACAAGTCACACAGAGTTCAGCCAACCTGACTACTGGGACCGATTTTTCAAGAAACGAGGGAAAATCCCGTTTGAATGGTAAATAGTAGCTTTACAATAACTATACATATTTTAACCTACCCGAGATGGAATTGCAAAGAAGCAAGAGAACAATTGCATCTTAAACATTTTCTGTCTCAGATGGGGAAATTTAGGGGGAGTGGGTCCAGAGGGCCAGCTCGTAGGCAGTGGTATCAAGGGTCGCCTGTCCGGTCGGCAAGATGTGGTAAAAACTTCACACCTCCCAAGTGCCATCCTAGCCTCTCTGATAATGGCCTGTATCAGTCTTACTTATCCATTGCCACAAGTGTTAGCATCTCCAAGGACATCTGTTTGACGAATTAAAAACTGAAACCATTGAACTTCTCCTCTGTATCCATTGTTCTTAGCCCCCACCCATTGATGTAATTATAAGCACAATCAGCTCTAAAACCACCCTTGTCCTGTATGTAACAATGATTCAAGAAACGTTTACAGTCAGGGCGGCAGGCCGTGGTCAAATTAATTTCACACTTCTGGCTCCCGAGGACAGTTTTCATGCTGGAGCCACTCAAGCACTTCCACCAGCAGTGGTGAGAAATCTTGCCCACACCACCTTGACCAACTGCACCACTTGGGGCTCACATGGATGGGTAACAGCAACCCTCAAACCACACCCCTTCTCCCCCCTCCCCCCTTCCTGCCTTCCTTGCCTGGCGGCGTTGCATAAATGTTATCTGATGGAACTAAATTTAGTTTTGTTTCAAATCAAGGCTGAGCAAGCAAAGCATAATTTTCCATCCTCAACAGGAATTTCTGTTTCTGGATTGAGTAGGTTTCTGTCTCAGACAGATGTATTATTTATAAAAGAATTTATCATGGGAGGGGCAGGGAGATATCGTTTGGCAGTTAAGGTAGGTTCCTGTAAGTGATTGCAAGTTTTTTTAAACTTTGGTTTATCATCATGATCTTGATTCAGTGGAAATGTATTGGATAAAGAGTGTGTACATTTTTTTATTTTTTGATCAGGCTTTTGCACACCCTAGAATAACTTTCAGAGTCTTAGTGTAAAAATTAATGTGAAGCAATCCAGTTTAAATGGTATTGATAGTTATTGTCTTTTGTTATGAAGTTATGACCGACCTACCATTGTAGACAATTCAAATGGAAAAGAACGTGAAAGTGGATGCAAATGACTGCATGCTTATTTTGGGATTATTTTCTTACTTTTACTCAGAACACTCTGATGTGAAAATATAATATTTGCGAGTACAAATTGTATATGTATTTTCTGTTTTCTAGGTATGGTGAGTACCCTCAGCTGAGCCATGTGATCCATAAGTACATCACGCCATCCAACTTGGTCCTGGTAGTGGGCTGTGGTAACTCTGCTCTCAGTGAGAATATGTACGACAATGGCCTACAAAATCTTGTCAACATTGACATCAGTGATGTGGTCATTCGTCAGATGACAGACAGACACAAAGTGAAACGACCAAAAATGACATTTGAAAAAGTGGATGTCACTCAGGTTTGTGCGTTGATTTTCCTGTTTAAATGTGTATTTGAATCAAATTTCTTATTTAAATATGATCTTTGTGGACTTCAGCTCATTGATGTCTTAGCTTCTGGATCCCACCCTTTTGTTATTTAGATCTCTATTGAGGTGTTTTAGAAGTTGACTTAATGGCTTGCTAAAAATTCTAAACAAAAGTAAGAAGAGATGGTTCTTGGGATTTTGTTTTCTATTTTCAAGTCCATTTTTGCAAAAAGTATTGAGCCCTTGACCGGTGGCGTATAAAATTGCTCAAATTCCTAGTCACTGGTGCAGCGGTGAGCGAGACCCTATTCCCAACCTGTCTTCTGGAGGTCAGGGCTCAAAGGGTACTGACTGACCTGCTCAAAGTTTGTCAAAGCACTGCTTTCTTTTTAGTGTCAGCAAATGGTTTTGCTTTCATTTTGTCTCCTTTTTCATTATGTTTTATTTTTACCTGTTTTTAATCTTAAACCTGTTTTTAATCTTATACCTTTGCTTGCGCTCTTGTTCACAGACATTGCTGATAGGTCTTCCATCAGCTGTATCTTTTTTTGTTATTATCTAACATTGTTAGCTCTAAGTGACTGTCATTATGTAAATTTTCTTGTTTGTGACAGACTGAACAAAAAAAAAAATTTAATTTGATTGCAGATGGCCTATACAGATATGCATTTTAATGCTGTACTGGATAAAGGAACCTTAGATGCCCTTCTGGTCAGTGAAGAGAAAGACGTAATTGAAAATATACACCGTATGTTTGCTGAAGTGTGTAGATGTTTGAAGCTTGGAGGTCGCTACGTTATCATCTCACTGCTTCAGGACCATGTACAGAGAACTCTTCTTCGCTACTTTACAGAATTGTAAGTCTGTATTATTTTGATATTTTTAGTCTTTTATACGAAAGTCACTTTGGGTGAGCTGCTAATCTGGTTTGATAAAGTTCTACTTCTGTGCTAGCTATCTGTGTTTGAATTCTTCTTCTGCGTTTTTTAAAGCTTTTGCTGTACTCATTCTCTGAGATGGCCTTTTCTGTTTACTTTGTTTTTAGATGTAGACTTTCTTTGTTTGATGAAGACACATCATTGAAGTTTCAGAGTTCATTCAGATTTTGTCCAACAGTTGATGCTTAGCTGTGCAGAAAGTATTTCCAGACTTTGAAAAACCTCTGTGGTGCGGAATTCTTTTCTTTATTGGTATCAGGTTTTTGTTTATCTTCTTACCATTTTGTCTCTATTGATGTATGACCCATTCTTTCTTGTTTTAAATTTTATCGCTTCAACTAAAATTCTCAAACTTTACAGATCCTGGCCAATCAGAATTCATCGTATTCACATGGAGGCTGAAGGTGGCGGTCAAGATTCATTATCAATGCCTGTCTTTGCCGTGGTCATTACCAAGCTGAAAAGCATACCTGGGATGCCCCAGGTAAACTGATGATTTTTCAAATACTGTTTTGTATTGGTATGGAGCATCAGTATTGTAAGTGAAACTTCCAGTAAATGTACTGGACATTCGTCAGTCACGATTTTTTATTCTCCAGTGTTGTATGTGTTGTCAAATACACCTTTCAACACTGTAAGGTTGGCTATGAGGCATGACTTCCAAATTGGATACATCCAAAAGTGTCAAGCCAAGTGAATGGAGAGGAGGGGCTCTCGTGGTCTAGAGGTTATGGTGTTCGCCTCTCATTCAATAGGTCTCGAGTTCAAAACCTGACAGCGACAGAAAAATTTTTTCTGTAAAATTTCTCCTTTCACCTCTTTTCCTGTTCTCTAACCTAGTTCTGTCATCTGCTTTCATCTCCACTTTCTGCCCCCTCCTCTCTTCCCTTTGCCCTTCCTCTGGGCTCTTAACTCTCTCTGTAGCCTTTCTACTGCTACTCCTTGGCTCCTTCTTACTGCTGTCTTTCAGCTACACCCCTAATCTTATGGCAAGTAAGATCTAACACCTAGCCTTCTCGGATAAGGGCGAAGAATCTCAGAGGTCACGTGTGCAAATTGCGCTCATTAAAGATCAGTTGGTGGTCCTAAAAATCGAGAAGAGTGGTCATCAGCGGCCACCCGAGCAAAATTCCAAATTCCTACCAAGCAGAAAATGTTTAATGTGTCCCGCACGCTCATATGACCTTGTGCAGTTGCGAGCGCTGTAAAAACAGAGGATAGAGAGCTTTGAAAACTCACAAAAGTTTAAGAATGCTTCTTCTGTCTTCCTGTTTTACCGGCTGCTGTGGCTCAGTAGATTATGAACTCAGCCTGCTCTTACAAGTTTGGGTGTTGAATTCAAGTGGGATCTGAATTGTTCATACCCTTCCTTGAATTGTTTTCCTTTTTGCTTGGTGTTCTGACAACAGATCAAGTGTGCTGCCTATGAGGCCTTTTGTAAAAGCATTGACTTTCAGTAACAGCAAACAGCAAATTAACAACCAAAGATAGAACCTGACAGCAATCTGCAGTAAAGACAATAGGAAAAAGAAAAGAGTGCTTTAACTCAAGCCCCCCCCCCCCCCGTCCTCTAACCCCAGATCGTGGAGGTTTGTCGATATGAAGATCGAGTGGACAGATTGGAAGATGTGAAATATCTGTCTGAGATCGTGCGAGACATGCAGTACTACCATATTGTGAGGCAGCAGCTGGCTGGCAAGTGAGTAGAGGGTCCAGTGAGTGATGTTTAGGTTCTGCTTTTCTGGGTATGTATAAAAGTTTCTGACTTTGTATTTGCTCATTTGTTTGAGAGGAAGTAAAAATCACAATTTCGAGTAATAAAGGAGGGCATGTGATGTTTGCTTCGTTTCCATCTGTTCCAAGAAAAATTAGTCATTTTTACGTCTGGTCAGTTTCTGACACAAGCACAGGAGAGATCATGCTAAAACAAGTTGCTGTCGCTTTGAAATGTGCTTTTACAAGTGATAATAACATAAGAAAAATTCCGTTTTACCCAGAATGCTAGCAGCTGGAGACCACTGTATATTAGATTTTGGAAATAAATAGAATTATTAATCCTGAATTTGAAATGTCAACCTCTTTTTTCACCCACATTACAGAATGTGCTACTACAGCTAGTTGTCCTATTGAAAGATACTTTTTGTGCCTCTAATTTAATTTGATGTAGACTTATTGTTCAAGAAAAAATATTGACAGAGGCTGCAGATTGATTGGGCTTTGTATGATCTCCTTATCCCTTTGTGAATATCACTGTCCATAGCTCTATCTTGTTTGTAATTCTCGTGAACTCTTTAATTCCTTGGGGATAACCCCTCGGGGCGGTGCTACTGACTGAACTGTCTTTAGGCCATTCCCAAACGGGGGACACTAATATGTTCTTATGCACAGTAGAATTCAGGATCAATAACAACATGCACAGTAGAATTGGAAATTTTAAATGGGCTGATTCATTAATGTCATGCTCATAACTGTGCCTGAACTGCAATAGGGAACTGCTGCTTTTTCTTTCCTAATCCTTACTATCATCATTTTTTCTCTACTTCTTTTGTATGTTTGTCACACACTTGTGACCCACTATTTCCCGGTTGCCTTGATAGTCGAAGTAGACTTTGTGCTGTTGAAACTAGGGAAGTAAGCAGAGTAAGTCTGATTCCCTGTAAGGACTTCTCTGTTGACATCCACCCCTTGGCGCTCATATGACCTTTTGCCTTTGTGATCGCCGTAAAACCTCTTCTAAAAAAAAAATTTTTTTTGAAAAACTCAAGTCCTTGGAGATGGTTAGAGAGAGCTTCTGGTCATTCCTACTTCTTTCCCATTCCCATATTTTTTTCCACATAATATGATCTCGAGGGTTTTTATTAAAGTTCTTTAGCTCTTGATGAAGTGTTCCCAATATGTTTCTCTTTATCTCATACTCAAACCTGTGCCCTGTGTCCCCAGGATGTCCAGCGATCAGCAGATTACGCTGGAACTGCACACCCCTGACTCCAACATGCCACGGTACAGTCTCACGGTGGTCGACTCACCAGACAAGATGGAGAACAAATTTGCCATCTTCATTGTACCTCAAGGAAGGTGAGAGAATGAAACTGCTGTTGTCATCATCTCAGGTTCTGATGCTTGAGAGTCAGGGAAAACTGAGATAGAAAAAGTAAGATGTTGGGCGAAATGGAAGAGGGAGCAGTTGATGATTGAACCTGAAAAGACTTGCCATAGATCTAACAAACAGCCCAATCATGGTCGAATCATCTGCACATTTTATCAACTTGATGTTATTGCTTTTAATTTGTCATTCATTCGTTTACAGTGTAAACAAAACTGGTGACAAAACAACACAGTCTTGCTGTGATGTGTGTCAATACTATGCAATGTTCTAAAATTGAGAAATTCCTTCACAGGGAGACGGAATGGCTGTTCTCTACTGACAAGGGCCGGCTTCATCTCACAGCCAGTGCTGGCTTTCAGCGCCTAGTGGTGGTAGGGTTGGGTCGAGGTCACGAATATGACAATCTTGAAGCTATCAAGGCAGAACTTTCCCTCAAGGTCATGGAGTTAGCTCCGCCTAAATGCCCTCCTAGAGCACAGGTTTGTGACATAACGCAAATGTTCGATGTTCTTCTTCTTTTTGTATTATAAATTCACTGAAGTCTGTTTTTAATACACTCACTTGTAATAATGCTTCTATAAAACAGTCTGTAGTCTTGAGTGGAGGGTTGGGGGGGGGGAGAAGAAAATGATTATTTAACTCAAAAGTGAAGTGTCCACCTCTTTTTTTCCAAAGCACATAGTTCTGTGATTGGTTCATTGGTTTGTACAAGTATGAATGGATGGTAAATGACTGGAATTTCATTCAGTGCTTTGGATATGATAGATATAACATTTGATTTTCTTCCATTAGGGCAAAACATTCAGAGGTCACATGTGCACATTGCATAATCTACTGACATGATAGTCATTTAAAGCCACTGAACTAGTTGACTATTGAGGTCAGGAGCCTGGAGCTTTAACTTAAAGCAAAATTATACATTAACCCCTAGCTAGAACAGAAACACTGGGGTACTATTAAGAAACAGTTAAGGGAATTGACAGTGGTAGGGAACATGACCAGATAAATATGGAAATATGTAGGTCTATTGAGGTTATTACTTCCAATTAACTTTTACCCAATGTTTATAGTCCAGTGGTTCTCAACCTTTTTCAATCCGCGACCCCCTTTTGATTGTTTGGCAAATGAAACGACCCCTCGTACCCCAACCACTAAATAAAGTAATAAAGAAACCCTTTTAATCATCCCCCCCCCCCAAAAAAAAAGCATACAATCCAGCAGCAGACAATTAAAGAGGCCTATATTACATATTAACTACTGAACAATAACTGTACCTTTGATGTTTTAAATCACTCCTATTTCAAGCAAATACAAATCGAGAAAAAGGAGAGAACACACACACACACAGATACACACAAACACACACACACACACACACACACACACACACACACACACACACACACACACACACACACACACACACACACACACACACACACACACACTCACACAGATTTAAAGAAAAAATAAACTGGTGAGAGGGCTGTGCCTGTAGTTCAGCGACCAGTTTTGAAATTCTCGGGGAAGTCTTGGATAAAGCAAGGTACATATCTCTCTCTCTCTCTCTCTCTCTCCTCATTTTATATCCCTACTTTCGCCATCCCCACCCACTCCCCCACTCACACACACACCACTGTAAACATTTTATATAATGTGAAAGAGCTGGAATAATTATGGTAGTGTCAAGAAACAATATTGTGATTAATGTATGATGGAAGTTACTGAGTTAATAGAAACTGACTTGAACGGCATAGAAACAGAAACACTACTAGAGTATGCTAGAAAACAAACTGAAAGTGAGAAGCACAATGAACTGCTGGTCATGGCCTCTGGTACTTTAACCAAAGATTTTTACTTTCTACTAAGTTTCTACACACCCACACACAATATCGACGTGCACTCGACCTGTAAATAATATGTAATAAGAACAGTACTGTATGATGGCAAAAAGTCAATTGATACGGTACCAATGACGCTGTCCCATGCAGATTAAGTCTACAATCAGATACTATACAAAGCTGGACAAAGTTAGCACACAACAGTTTTCCATCATTATGTTATCAAACGTTCTTCATCTCACTTCTCAGTTTTCAGACCACTGTGGTAACAAAGTGGGAAGTGTGTCAAATGCTAATTATAGAACTTGGTGTCTAGCTGGGGTGACGGTGGATAAGGGGAGGGAAGGGAGGGGGTAGGCCCATTGTTTTCGGCCCAGACTCTGACGGCCGAGAGCCTATCGCTCCTCGTTATAATTCTCCTTATATATCTTCACTAGACGATTCCTCTTTTCGCCGGCTAGACTCATATGGGCCAGGTACGTTGTTAGTGGGGAGAAAGCAATGAATAGTCACCAAACATGAACTATAGGTGGCTAAAAATTCAATAAACAAAAAAGATTAGTGCCATGCTGACAATGAATGTTCTGATGATAGTAGACAAAGGCTGGATGATAAGTACATGTATTGAGCTGATAAAATATTTTATGTGTCTGTGCTGCTCAAGACTCAAGACAGTCTCATTACTGATTTTGTAAGCAACACGGAGGCCAATTTGGCAATCAAGGGCTGGTGCGATAAACAAAGGTGAAGGAATGAGGCTCTGTCGCGACAAAACAGCAGTGAATCCCACTTGTCTATTTGAATGCGTTTAAATCGGCAAGGTGCTTTTTGAATGTTGATACATGTTTATTCGGATTTACTTAAAACTGAATGAAAATCATCATCAGCAATAAATCTCTGACAAAAATTTGACCGCCACCGCCGGTCTTGCCCAGTTAACAAACCGCCCCTGCCTGTAGGCAAGTCTTTGGGTCCACAAATCAATTGAGAAATGCCTGCTGACCTCATCTTTTCTTTGCACTTCCAGGAAGAACTTGATCTCCTCTCTCGGCTCGAAGACGCGACATACAACGTTTCCTTTCGATAACCATCGAACTTGAGTGTAGAAAAGCAGTGTTTCATGATCTGCACTCATGTCAAAACAGAGTTCCTTGAACAGTCGGGTATTTAGGGGGCTGTGTTTCACATAGTTGGCAATCTTAACAGTCGATTCCAACGTTTCCTTCAAAGTGGGATTGAGAGTCTTGCAAGCTAGTGCATATATATCTATGTATCATGCAGTGAACGCCTTTTGCGTATGGTGCTTTGTCTTTCACTTTTACCTGAAAGCCCAACTTAGATCCCATCGTGGCTGGGGTACCATCAGTACAAATACCACACACATTCTTTCACTCAAGACCCTCGTTTTCCAAAAAAGGAGGCTAACTTGTTCATGACATCATCAGCTGTTGTGGTGGTGTCCAGTGGGGTGCAAAAAAAAACCCCATTCTTCTTTCACATCTTTTCCCAACACGTATCTCGCAAAGACCAGTCACTGTGAGCAGGATGCCACATCAACTGATTCGTCAAGCTGGAACGAGAACTTGGGGGAAGCATTAGCCTCCTCTACAACCTGTTACTTAATAAATGTTTGAAGACATGCGTACAATACGCCTCTTGACAGTATCATTTGAAAGGGGAACTTGCTGCAATTTCTGTGCACTAACCTCACCTAACATCAGCTGTGCCATCTTTATCGTGCAAAGCTTTATAAGTGTTTCTCCAATTGTGTGTGGTTTCTTTTATTTCTCTCTCTCTCTCTCTCTCTCTCTCTCTCTCTCTCTCTCTCTCTCTCTCTCCCTCTCCTTTTTTTTTCTCCTTTGTCAAATTTCCTGACATGGCCTTTCCTGCGTGTTTATTGTTCTGCCACGCAACAACATAGTTTTATAATGAATAGATTTTTTTTCTCAGCTAGGCCTATGATCCTATTAGAGAAGACAAGCTAGATGCCTACATGGAATTAGAAAGAGACAATTATAGTGAAATGGAGTTTCCGTGATTTTTTTTTTACAGTGTCATCCCTTGGGTGTGGGTTAGATCTACGCCAGGGCCTAGAAGTCAGTAGGAGTACACAAATTAAACGCGGGCGAGACAGGTCTGGATGGAAATAGTACATGACTACTATGCTTCCCCCTGTGAACCCGTTCTCCGAAGCCAGCACTCATGTAGCTCGTCATAAACGAGGCTTCAAGCTATTGTGCGTTGGCCTATGGTGAGGGTAAATTATACATTTTGAAAGAAAAGAAAACACTGCAAACCAAACCTATGATTGGCCCACATAAATAGACAGGGCAAACTGGTGTAGCCTTGTTGTTTCTCTTGCCTTGTTTAGAAGTTCAGGTGTATACCTTTTTTCTTATTTCAGCCAATTGAAGAGGTGTATACCTTTTTTCTTATTTCAGCCAATTGAAGAGGTGTATACCTTTTTTCTTATTTCCGCCAATTGAAGAGGGAACCGTATTTTGAAAATTGCCAGGGGAAGAAAAAGAGCAATGTTTTAGTTTTCAGAGGTCCATTTAGCACAAAATCCTCTATGATCTCGCGACCCCCCAAGAGAGGTCTGGCGACCCCCCGGGGGGTCGCGACCCACAGGTTGACAACCTCTGTTATAGTCAAAGGAGAGCAGGTTGTTTGAATTTGAGAACAATCTGACACCGCTGTTCGAACTTTTTTATGTTTTTGATGACCTTGACTGTAAGATGTTTTGCTTTTCATCTTAAATGAAGGTCCCATTCCTGTCCATTGGAGAAGACATTGGACGTCGTTTCCCCGTGGCACGAGGGCGAAGTACGGTGAGCGGGGAGTATCTGGTAGAGGATGTGGAACTCAATGGGGGACAACTCTACCGCAGACTCATCTTTCTCGATAACAAGAACATAATCCAGTCAGAGGCCCGCCTGAAGCAACGTAAGACAAATAGTTGTTCATGCGTGTAGCCTCATTCCCCTCATAGAAGCCATACTGTTGAATGACTCTTATAGTGTTCTCCGATATGTTTAATGCCAGACGGAGTTGAACATAGAGTAAGCCTGTCTGATTTTCTTCAGGTCTCCGAGATTTTTGCATCAATACCATTATAACATTGATCTCTGTCAGTTCCATGCAGTCTTTATTGTTGTTTTTTAACTAAGCTCTTTTTCTGAAAGGGGGTTTTCATCTCGTCAAGTTGAAAATTAAACGCACTCAGCATTGAAAGTTTTATCCGAGTATCCACAGAATTGTGAATGAAAGAAAGTGTGTTGCATTTCCTCACAGGTGTTGCCTATATGTTCTCTTTGAAGAACCAGGGAATGAAAAGAGGAAAAGAAGTCTACTTCTTCCAAGATTCTAAATTACCTGCAAGAGGGAAGAACTTGAGAACAAAGGGTAGAATATTGCAATGAAGAAGTCTTAAAATGGAATTATATGCAACTCTTGACAAGACATAAGATGACACAACGGGAATGCTTTCCTCGTGCTGACTGCGATGGGCATTTGCTGGTCTGCATGACCACTGTTAACTAAATCGTTATCATCAGAAGACACTGAATGTAGACCAGTACCTGAGTGCACCATTCATCTATCAACTGTCATTATGGAGCGATGCCTTCTGCTTCTACCACAGGTCTGACAAGTACTGCTAAATCGAAGAACGCTGATGGGATTTGTGTAAAACCGATTTTTTTTCTTGAATTCCATTTCCATTGGTGGTATGCCACCTATCGTAAATGACAGGAAAATACTGAGGTTTATATTGATTTATTTTACAATGTTGGCATGATGCATCATAAATGGTGTGAAAATACTCGTTTATTGATCTGCAGTACACGTGTATTTGTCACAGTGGTATTATAACACAATCTTAATCTACTTTGGGGGCTCTCATGGTCTTGAGGTGAACGGTGTTCCTCTTTCATTCAGTAGGTACCGGGTTCGAAACCTGACAGCAACGGAAAATGTTCTTCTCTAAAATTCTATTGCTACTCTTTGGCTCCTTCTTACTGCTGTCTTTCAGCCACACCCCTGATCTTATGGTAAGTAAGATCTACACCTAGCCTTTTCGAATCAGGGTGAAAAATCTCGGAGGTCCCATGTGCAAACTGCGCACATTAACTCATTCGCTACGCCGAGGTGTGGGGGGCTGCGCGGCTAAAGTGCCGTCAGTACGCTAAGCCGCCCCCAGTGGCGCGAGAACCGATCTTCAATTTTAGTTTAGATTCTATTCCAATCCACATATCCATGTTAAAATAAAGGTCATGATATAATGTTGACTTCCGGGTCAAGTATTTCCACTGAAAATCGGAAATTTAGATTCAGTTTTGAAACGCGATTTCGTAGTTTATTCAACTTTGTTTTATCGCAATGCCAAAATTGTAGCCCGGACACCAGTCTTAGTAATTTTACACAACAAAACCTATCATTATTTTGCCCAGTAAAGAATGGTAGGGCTATTTTTTATAATATTGATACGATTGGACTCATATTGCCAATGCACTGTTATTGAGAAATCAGTATTTTTGAGTGCTAGATCTAGGTCTAGATCTAAATAGTCAAATATTTTTTTCTCCCCAAAATCACTACTTTTTGATGAAATTACACAAAAAGTGCCACTCAAGACATGTATAGGTTTATTCCAAATGCAATTCTGAATAATTCCATATAAGATACGAGCGGGGTTTTTTCTGTTTGTGATCGTTTTTCAAGATTATAAAAAAATTTTTTTTTTCAATATCGGATGTTATGTTCAAAATGTACAAATATTATGGAATGTAGGTAAATAACTGCAAACTTTTCAATATTTTCCAGTTCTATATTCATTTATGGTTATTTTGATGTATCATTTGACTTGGTGCAAACATATTTTTTGAGTTTCACCAAAGATTATAAATTTTTTATTTTCAAATTTTATCCGCATCCAATCAAAACTGTGTTGCATAATCGACTCTTACAGAAACCAAAGTTGAAAAATACATAAATAAACATTACAGATGTATTCTACAAACCATACTGAAAATATTGGTATATAATACGTTGATATTTATTTGAATTTGTGGCCCCAAAGACCTTTTAACTGCCCACTAGTCATCATCTCTTTCGCTCTCCCGAAAAAAAATTCTTCCACAAGCCGAAAATAATACGTAGCGAATGAGTTAAAGATCCCTTGGTGGTCCCTAAAACGATTAAAGTAGGCTTCGGCGGCCACCTGGGCAAAATTCAAAATTCTTGCCAAACTGAAATGTTTAACCCCTTCACTGCCAGCTATGAGCTACATAGCTGTGCAGGGGAAAACTGCTCCAATTACTACAAGCGTCACATAGAGCCTCTAACTCAGAAACTCAATTGAAATCATTATCATCACTGTAAGCCATTGCGAAAAGCAAAAAAATACCAAAACGTAAACACAACTCAGAACGTCAACACTTCACTTCTTCATAACAATGAAAATGACGCTCAGATTCACGGGAGACTACTGTAATATCAATGAGGATTAGTCGTGACACAGTTTGTCCCTTCAAACAGTGGAAAATTACACTAAAAATGGCTCAGGGAAGCACTTCTTGGCCCGCTGAATCAGCAGGCTGGGGCAGTGAAGGGGTTAATGTGTCCCACGCACTCATATGACCTTATGCAGTTGTGAACGCTGTAAATCACTTACCAAAACAAATTATCTACTGGGGGTTTGGAGACTCATCCCCCCCCCCCCCACCCCAAACTCTTATTTTTGGTCATGGAAAGGTTGGCAAGTCTGCAATTATGTATTTTTCCCCACCTTCCCCAGCTCGCAAGAAAAAGAAGCGCCGCCAGAAGGGCTCCACAGATGTTCCCAGTGAAGGCCCCCCTGATAAGCTGAGAGTGGATAAAGGTTATCTCCCCAGTGACTATCTCATTGCATTTGTTGGTGGATTGGCATTTTTGCCGAAATTGGGTAAGAATACTCATTATAACTATGTTTTGACAACTTCAAATTTCTTTTTACAAGGAATGAAACAAAGTATTTCCTTTAGTTTTAATAAGAGTTTTATGGAATTTGCAACACAGATGTAACTATATAAGTGTTGAAAATTAGAGGTGTAACTAGAAAGTAGCATACAAAGAAAAGGAGGAGCAATAAGACAAGAACAGCAGATGTGTCATTGGAAAGAAGAAACAAGCCACACCACAGCACTCGCAAACCAAACACAAATACTCCCAGACTCCCTGCAAGATGAATAAAGATTGTCATTGTCGTTGTCTTTGTCAAAATACACCGTTTACTCAAAGTATATGTTCCTAATTGAAATCTTCAGTTTGTTTAGCTTTTTTTTCTTGAGAAAAGGGGAATGGGGGGGCTCTATAAAGAGAAGAAAAGCCTTTCCAATGTGCAGGGATCGTTAAGCAGTCATTAAGATTTTTGTCTCTCTTCAATCTTTTCAGATTCTCAGATATCATGTTTGTTGGTTGGCCTTGGAGGAGGAGGACTACCGTGTTTCCTGCATGATGCCTGGACTACAGTAAGCTTGTGTCCCAGCCAATGGCTGCGCTTTGTCTTCACTTTTTTATCACTCTTTCATTCTTATTCTGTACTTTTGTTTTGGGGGGTTCATCATTCTGACCCAGCTTCGTCACCAGTGATGTTATTGCTACTGTTTTACTGCCTGTTGTGAAATCCTCAATATTTTGCTTTAACAGATTCAGCCCGCAGAGCTGCTCACAGCGGCTGACTGTCTCCTGTGTTTTGACGCAGAGCTGCTCACAGCGGCTGACTGTGTCCTGTGTTTTGACGCAGAGCTGCTCACAGCAGCTGACTGTCTCCTGTGTTTTGACGCAGAGCTGCTCACAGCGGCTGACTGTGTCCTGTGTTTTGACGCAGCGCTGCTCACAGCGGCTGACTGTGTCCTGTGTTTTGACGCAGCGCTGCTCACAGCGGCTGACTGTGTCCTGTGTTTTGACGCAGAGCTGCTCACAGCGGCTGACTGTGTCCTGTGTTTTGACGCAGCGCTGCTCACAGCGGCTGACTGTGTCCTGTGTTTTGACGCAGCGCTGCTCACAGCGGCTGACTGTGTCCTGTGTTTTGACGCAGCGCTGCTCACAGCGGCTGACTGTGTCCTGTGTTTTGACGCAGAGCTGCTCACAGCGGCTGACTGTCTCCTGTGTTTTGACGCAGAGCTGCTCACAGCGGCTGACTGTCTCCTGTGTTTTGACGCAGAGCTGCTCACAGCGGCTGACTGTGTCCTGTGCTCAGAGAAGCTTTGTCTATTGCTCCCTTTCTTTACACCACTTTCCTCTCGTCTTTTTTCCTGACCGCTTACATTTCTACTCTGCTTTCTTGTGTCATTGAATAGTTTTTTAAATTCTAAACATTTCTATGTGCCACACATGTGGTTTTATCAAATTTTGATATTTCTTATACACTTTTTGTGAGACGACCTGTGAGGTCACAAATTATTTGCATCGGGAGTCAAAATTATTTGCAGTCAAAATTGTCTGCGGGCTGAATCAGTTAATCTTAAGAAAAAATTCTGTTCACTCGAATTTCAACTGTACACTCATTTATTTAGAACCTTTTGGTTCTTTTTAAAAAGGGCTGATTAGTTTGTCAGACTGATAGTAGCCTACATTTCCTGTTTCATGTGTGAAAAGACTTTCCAATGTGCAGGGATTGTTAGGCAGTCATTAAGATTTTTGTCTCTCTTCAATCTTCTCAGATTCTGCGGGAAGATATAATTGTACATTTCTTGTTCCATCTGTAGAAATGGAGGTTATATCATTTTTTGTCATCAGTACAAAATATTGTGCCACTTATATATTTGAATTATATCAATTCTCTTAAAGTTTTGTGTCTTAAATTTGTTACGTTAAATTCAAGTGAAAAATGAATTGTTTTCCAAGTACCACACCTTTTTTTTAGATGTCAATAGAAGCTGTGGAGTTGGACCCGTCTGTCGTGGAGGTGGCCAGAGACTTCTTTGATCTTGTGCCTGACGACAGCGACCGGCTGAGAGTGACTGTGGCAGATGGACTTGATGTTGTTAGGACGCTCGCTTCTCAAGGTTTGGATGTTTGTGTAGTTCATGAAGTAAAATCTAAATGATGTGTGTTGATACAGTTGAAGCTGGGGTCTGCTTGGATAGTGAACAGGTGTTTGTAATGATGTTTGCTCAACAATGACATTTGGGTCAAGTCTGTGTGCAATGACATCTGCCTTACCCCCAGAAGGAGTATGCTGAAACTCTGAGAGAGAAGAAGAGAATAAAGGGGAAAAGTACAGAGTTGCAATGAAATTACTGAAAGTACTACAAAGTGTCTGTGTAATGTGTAACTTGGAGTTGGTACTTTTATGATAAGACTAAAGGCGAGTGTTCAAGCTATCCATGGTGTCTTGTGTTTTACTTTTTGTGTGGACTCACTGTGACTTAATCAGAATAAGGTATGAATTTGGGGAACCTGAGATTACATGTGCAGATAATGGAGGACTAGTCCTAGACATGTTTGTGCTACTCGAGGTCTACTCTGATTTTTTTTTTACTGCTGGCATTAGGCTTAATCTTTGTCCTCTTTGAGACGTAGAGCATATTGTTCAGTGCTTGCACTCTTCCGTATTTTTACGGAAATCCGTACTTTCTGCCAGTTCCGTACTTGTTCCTCCATCATTATCAACTCCCTCCGTAAAAATCTGCGACAGCGTAGGACTACGGAAATTGCGTAGCAAAAGATCCGTACTCGCCTTTGTGTCGTCTTGTATAGTATAAGTTACGGATATTTACGGTAATTCTCTCGGCAATAGTTTGTTATGGTATAGAAACCTGCCAGGTTGCGCATTTCCTGCCATCGGCCATTAGTCCGCTATGCCCCATGCATTCATTGCGGGTTGGTCGGCAGTACCTTTTTTTACCTGCAGATTGATCAAATTCTGGCGAACTTTTTGTGCCTCTCTCCTCCCTTCTGTCATTCCCTCCTCATTCCTTCTGTCTTCAGATTGTTGCCGCGGCTGGAAAATCTGCGCGTTGATCAAGTAAATTGACTTGTGATCTCAGAAAATTACTGTCAGAAAGAAACTGTTTTAAAACAGATTTATTGTCTAGATCTAGAGAAATTATCAGCGCGAAGATTCTACGGCACGGGAACGCGATAAGGGCCGCGGTGAAAGAAATTTGTGCTAAAACTACTAAAATCAAGAACAATTCAAAGTGGTGTTCCGAGGTTGTGACATGCGACATTCAGACGTGAAAATTGAGGAAAATTAGGGTATATGCTGGGTAACTGTATTGTGAAGGTACATATTATCTTTTCATTATTCTCAGGTTTGCCTTCTATCAATGGTGCGATGACAAATTAATTGAATTATAGTAGCAATGGAAGGGGAACCTGCTTTTAAACATTGCCAGCAATGAAAAGATATGTGTGAAGAAATCAAACAAGACAAAATCTTGGTGAATTAAATAAGTAGTATGGGCTGTTGGCTATCTCTTCAAACAGACTCCCAAATGCCATTTTCAACCCTCTAAAAGTACTAAATTTCAATTTCTTAGGGGGCCTCGCCCCCTGGACCCCCACCGGAACGCTGTCCCTGGACCCTGCTGCGGCCCCCAGACCCCCCCCCCGCAGAATTTTCTTTACTTTTCAGCTTCAGCTGGTGGAAGCACTGATTGTTGATATTGTTCTCTTGTTGACCTTTTTCAATCATACTATCAGATGTATTGTTGTTACTTATCCATCAGCTATGAGGCTGGTGCCCTTTAGCTCAGTAACGTGTGTATTTTTTTAATTTTATGGTAAACACAAAATGTGTTCTTTTTCTTTTTTTTAAATTTTTTTTATGAAGGTGAAAAACGGGATGTGATTATCATTGATGTTGACAGCAAAGACAACTCTGTTGGTTTGAGCTGCCCACCTTTGGCATTTGTGGAAAAGGACTTCCTTGAGGCTATTGGTTCTTTGCTCAGTCCTGAAGGTAGGTTGCTGTGTTGGCTGAATGCCACTGTTAGGTTTTATATAACCTTTTATGATAACAGTGAGCCTAAGAGTAAGACTCTACTCTTCATTTTCAATCTGTGACAGTTGATCTAGGTGTTTGACTGAATTCTTTTTTTTATTTTTAGAAAGAACTGAAATTTTTATATTTTTCTTATGGGTCTGAATCATAATGCACCATCAACTACAATGGTAGAATGCTTTACTTCACTATGAACGCGGTACAAATATATTTGTGTACCTGAGTTGCTCCAGTTCTGGTAGAGATTCATTTTACAGTTCCTTGGGCAGCCAGTATCATCTATCTAGGTGTTCTATCTTTTAGAAAGCACAGCCGGGAGAAGTGGGGGCTTGTAGTGCAGGGTTCCTACCTAGCATGCAGCAGGAGAGGGATACTTGCCATGCCACAGACGTTATTTCAGGGTCCCCACCATATCCTGGAAATTTTTTTCAAGACCCCCACATTTTTTTTCAGATCCCAATTCGAGGGAAAAAAGAGGCCGCTGCTCATCAAGAATGATCCCTGAAAGTCCATCTGTCAGTGATAAAAAGTCAAAATGTCTTTAAATGAATGCAAATGTACATTTTGTAGTATAGTCTTCAAACTATAGATGATTATAATACTGGGTGACTGCCAACCCAGCTTCTCAATTTTCCAGGGGCATGTTACATAATAGTGACAGCGCGTGCTCCATTTATATCTAATATAATATATGTATATGTTTGTGAATACACACACACAACATACACACACACACGTGCCCGCGTAGGTACATTATATCCAGTCAATAACATGTCAGTGTGGCACTGAGATCTTGTGTGACTTAAGTATTTCTGTCTGTTTTTACTTATTTATATTTTCCCCTCATCATATTAGCCTACATGATGAATCCTGTTTTGAGCCTGAGAAAAGAACTAGAACCAGAATATCGACCAGTGTGGGTGTCATGATTCATATAATAAATGTGACAAAGAAAACTAGTCCTCAAACTCCAAGTAGAGTAATATTAGTAAATAACTTGAATGGCTCAAGTAGACCTACTCAGTGTGAGAGGTGTAAGAACTGAGGGAGGGCAAGATGCAGTGACACTGAAAAATCTGCCAATCTTGAACAGAAAGCTAAAATTTAGATATACTATCACCCGATCCAATGAAACACGAACACTTAAGTTCAATAACAAGGCATGACAGATCCCGATTCCACACAAGTCCTGCACCAACGCGAGCTTTACAGAGAGCTCTTATAGTAGCCATCAAAATTCTAAATACAAAAAATTTGCTTCTAAGTTCAGTTTGAGTCCTCTAGCGTTGCTTCAGCCCCCCCCCCAAATCCCTTTCCCCCGAGTGTATCTTTTTTTAAAAAAATCAATAACCCCCCACATTCCGGAGTCCTATACTTCACAGCACTCAGATCGCCGGTATTCACACGATGCCTTATCATATGGTGCGAACGCGCAGGTTCACTGACCGGTCACGATGGCGAGCCTAACAAGATGCTTGTATAACTTTCTTTTCTTTTTTTTTTTTTTCACAAGTGACAGCACAGAACAAATATTGATTTATTTTCATGGCGACACAGCAGTTGTAATGCACAACCTTCATGTTACAATGTTGCGTTATCTATCAGACTTATTACCAGAAAATTTCTGGGCGGTAACAAAAGTGAAAGTAGATCTTGATTCTTCCCGATCGAGCTTCAATGTCACACATACACTTTCACCTACCGCCATAGCGGTTCAATTATGCTTCCTCTTCCTGATTCATCAACCATACTGTCTAGATAGCTACACTACTAATATTACACAGGCCCTATCCTTTCCCGACCTCCCGACCCATCACAAAATTCCAGACTTTTTCCCGATTTCCCGACCTGGTGGGGACTCTGTTACTTGTTCACCATATGCCAGAATGTTTGCAAACACTTTCGGTATGGTACTGTGAAAGTGTGATAGGTTTTTTCGAAGCATGTTCACAGGCTCGGGTATTTGAGGTACAGAAGAAATTCCTTACTTAAGTCAATTTGATCATTGGCCAGACCCCCTGCCCCTTTATTTAAAAAAAAAATCATAATCTCTGCACTCACTATCCACCATCATACTATGCATGTACCTCAGATTGGAGCTAACTAGTCTGATTTGACTACCGAACCCCTGCAACCCTCAGAAAAAAATAACTTTAATCCTCAGGCATTTTCCTCCTCAACCTAGCGAGTCGTGATGAGGAACTGGGAAAGAGTGTGCTCGACAGGATTGCCCTGACCTTCACCTCTTGCGGGAGTCTTAAACTGGAAGAGGATGTGAACACAATTGTCTACGCTGCCCACTGCACCAGCTCTTCCCCTGCCTGGCAGCGGGAGAATCTTGATGCAGCATGGAGAGAGATGGATGCCAAGATCCGTAAAGTGTGGCCGGATACAAATGTTGAGCTGCAAGATATGATGAGTGGACTCACGCTGCCTGACACATGAGACATGTGTACTGCTTAGCGTTATAACAATGGAACTTTTGGAATTTGACTTTATTGGATGAGATGAAGTTCTGTCAAGATTTTGAAACTGATTTAGAAGTTCAGTAAAGTTAGGCTTGCAGGCCTCATACCATCACTGCACTAGCAAAATTGCATAACTCAGAGTGTTGTGCCAAACTGCAACGGGCCTTATATTTTATTTGGTGGTACTATCAGTCTTTTGGAAAAATCAAAACAAAAGTGGTCAAGCAGTCACAAAAGAAACCTGCAAGTTTTACCATTATTAGGTGATAAAAAATCTAGTTTAACAGTTTATCCCCTCTATCTCCAAAAGTTGCAAAAGAGAGGTGTGCTATGTTGCTAGCACAGTGATGATACCCTGTCAAAAAGAGTGATGTATTTAGGACAAGATTCAAAATTAATAATGGGATTTATTTTCTAGGAATTTGTTGGTTTTGTACTTTACAAATGTATAGCAACTGCACTGTGTAAGACTCCTCCATATGCTATTTTGAAAAGTAACTATGATGGAATCTTCCACTGAGCAGTCAATATGTTTCTGGACATGAATTCAAATACTATGTTGTTGTTGTTGTGGACTGGGGTGTCTGTGGACTGTCTGCCCACCCTGAGAAGAGGCCATTCATGTTGAGGATAGGAGGGTACTAGGAGTTTTCATGAGACTGGAAAGATCTAACTGCCCTGTGACCGTGTAATTCCGGTAGGGTTCACGTTGCCCATTCCCCGCCACCAATGGCTACTGGCTAAGGTTTTCGACTCTTTCATGAGGTATTGGCCAAGTAGAAAAGCCATTGGATCGTCACGTCCTGGGTCGTTGTGCCTTTACTAAGAGGTTTCACGGCCAGAAAGCAAGTCAGGCATTCTGCTCGGTCCATCCCCTGCACCCAGTCACTCTCAAACTGGCTGGTACCTTCTCAGCGAGGGTGTGTTGATGAAAGTAGTAGAGGTGTTAGGCAGAATAGACACCCACTCAATGGGGAGTAGGGGTGTGTTAGTGAGGAGCATAGCGTCTACCACACATCGGTGGGTTCTGCCTCCTGCACCTTGTGGGGCCACACCTGCTCCCATCCTGTTGTTTTAAAACCCCTCTAGGAAACGGGGGGGTTGGTTTGTTGGCGCCAACAACTCGCCATTCGCCAGAGCCGTGTCAGTGAGGACAGGGACCACCACGGGCAGGTACGGTTGGCTGGATTGGGAGAAGCTGTTTGAGATGCCTAGGCATTTCTCAATATTTAAATGAGACCCATCACCAGTCCTTGATCCCCCAAATACTATGTAAAATATGTTTCACACTACATTGACTGCGCGAATTAAAAATCATAAAACAATACTTTTTATACTCTATTATATTATTCTCTTTACTGTTCCATTCCCAATACCTTGTACTTCGGGGGGCTCTCATGGTCCACAGGTAAAGGTGTTCACCTCTCATTCAATAGGTCACGGGTTCAAATCCGGATATCTGCGGAAAATTTTTTTTCTCTAAAATTGTTTCCTTTTACATCCTTTTCTGCTCTTAAATAATGTTCTGTCGCCTGCTTTCTTCTCTACTTTCTGCCCCACCCCATCACCTCCTTTTCCCCCTCCTCTGGGCACCTGATTCTTTCTGCAGCCTTTCTACTGCTATTCCTTGGATCCTTCTCACTGCTGTCTTTCAGCCACACCCCTGATCTTGTGGAGGTAAAATATAACACCTAGCCTTCTCAGATAAGGGTGAAAAAATCTCAATCACTCGGTCAGAGGTCCCGTGTGCAAATTGCGCATATTAAAGATCCCTTGGTGGTCCAAAATCAATAAGAGAAGGCTTCGAATGTCATTCATGCAAAATTAAAAATTTCCTATCAACTGAAAATGTTGAAATTGAATGTATGTGTCCCACGCGCTCATATGACTTTATGTAGTTGCGAGCACCCCAAAAAAAAATTAACTTGTACTTCAGACATTAAAAAAAATATCTCTGACTGTTTTTGCCATAGGAAGTCTCAGGGGACTACTCATCAATTAAGAATAGTTGTGCAAATTCCCAGCAGACACAACCAGTTTAATTGTCATTAAAGTAAGACCTGAAGTGTCTCATTCCAAGAAACTGAGATTGAGATAAAAACTGTGTACCTGGTACCTGTATTTCTTCACTCACTGTGGTGTTGACATGGTTCAGCACTGTTTATTCCTTGTCTTTTACAAATTACAGTGAAATTATTGTCACTACTTCTGTAGTGGTGCTCATTTATTTTCAGTCTTTCAAAACGCTGCCTTTATTATAGCACAGTATAAACAGCAAAAAGCACCACCTAAAAATTAATGTCACTAATGCTGTGTGCAGTGGGAAAGGATTAAGAGCCTTAGAGTGAGGCTACGTTACAAGCGAGAGAGCTGGGCTGAGTGGGAATGAGAAGAAATATAACAGATATATTTCTGTTTAAATGGCCATACTATGAGCGGTTGTTCCCACGCGAGTCTCGCTAGGCTATACTTCGCTGTTTCTTCTCGTTTCCCGCTCGGCCTGGCTCATTTTGAGGCAGCGACACCACCCCCCTGCCCCCACATTTCAGTATTTGCAGATTTCATCCCCCGGCTCTCTAGACGTCTCCTCATGAGTCTCGAAAATTACTCACTCTGTCTCTTGAATCATGTTTCTGACCCACAGGCCAGTCAACACACCAGTTTTTACCTCAGCTGTTTCCTGCAAGCTTGCCGCTTCTTCCCCGCTTGAGAAAAAGCAGCTCATCATAGTATGAGACTATGACCACCACCAAGTTGATCGTTCATCTCTAGCTTCAGCTCTTGCTTGTAATGTGGCCTCACACTTAGAAACCCAAAAATGCCCAGGAGCACTTGACTTATTACATGTATGCAGTGATGTGAATCAAGACCTCCCACACCCAAGTCTTATGTCCTATTACCTGTGCTTTCATGCCTTCTTAGACAAAACTCCTATGGAAAGAATGATGACTGGATACGAGACTCCGACAAACACAGTTTTGGAATTTGATGTTTGTCAAAGTGTTGCATCCAGCCGTTCAGAAATAAGAGGGGGGTTCAAGAAGTCGTTGGTCTAAATATGAAGGAATAAAGATAGAGATTTGTAACTTGGCACTCATATACTTTCATTTCTCTACATAGTCACCATGCACACGCAGAGTAACACATTTGTGCCTCCTCTCTTTGCCCTTCAAAAGTCCTTGAGAAAAAAATGACCCAGAATAGGCCCCTTACCAGTCTTCCAGTTTCAATGGTGTCCTCGTTGTCATGGAAACGACGTCCTTTCAGAGATTTATGAAGATTAGGAAACAGAAAAAAGTCTGAAGAGGCTAGGTCTGATACTGATAAATAAGCTAAGTGTGGCAGGATTTCAAAGCCGCACTGTTCTGCTGTCTGGACTGTTTGTTGTGCCCTGTACGCACGGGCGTTATCATGCAGTAGGAGGACCCCATTACGGAGTTTTCCACACCTTTTTCTCATCAATTCGGACCGCAGTTTTATCCGCAAACCCGAATAATAGTCCCCTCTGACTTTTTCCATTTCCGGGAGTCAGTCATGATACCTTTACAATCCCAGAAACACGACAGCACGACTTTTCCGCTTGGCGGTGTTACCTTTGCCTTCTTTGGTGAGGGAGAAGAAGGGGTTTTCCATTGCATGGAGGACATTTTTTGTTCTGGATCAAAATGATAAGTCCATGTTTCATCCATAGTCACCATGTTTTCAAAGAAATTTGTGTCATTCGACTCAATTCGAAGGAGAGTTGCAGGACTCAACACTCTGCTTCTTTTGCTCACTTGTCAAAAGGCGGAGTACCCATCGCGCAGACACCTTATTCATGTTAATATAGTCATGGAGAATGGTTTCAATTGACCCTACACCGATTCCCGTTTAACTTGAGAGCTGTTTAGCAGTTATATATATGTCGGTCTCGTAAAACCAGTTTCTTCACTATGGATACATTCTCTTCAGTTACCACAAAGGATGGGCATCCTTCACGATCTTCTTCCATTACCGACCGACATGAATCCAGATTTTAATTTTTTTTAACCTAGTACGTTACAGTATTATAACAAGGACATTTGTCACTATAAACTTGGACCATTTCCTGAAAAATTGCTTGTTTTAGTAGAGGTTTTACAGCACTCGCAACTGCATAAGGTCATATGAGCGCCTAGGGGTGGATCTCAACAGAGAAGTCCTTACAGGGAATCAGACTTACTCTGCTCACCTCTCTGGCTTCAACAGCACAAAGTCTGCTTCGACTTTCAAGGCACCCCGGAAATAGCAGGTCACAAGAGTGTGATAAACATACAAAAGAAGTAGAGGAAAATAGTAAATGAAGATAGTAAGGATTAGGAAAGATAAAGCAGCAGTTCCCTGTTGTAGTTCAGGCACAGTTATGAGCATGCCATTGTTGGATCAGCCCATTTACAATTCTACTGTGCATTAGAACAAGAAATGTCCCCCTTTGGGAATGGCTAAAGACACTTCAGTCAGTGGCACCACCCCGGGGGGTTCCTGAAAAATGTCCGAAGGGGATTTTCCTTGGAAGTGTAAAAACTTGATAACTGAGCGATTTTCAACAGGCTCCATGGCATAGCTTCAGCAAAGAAAAACCAAATATTTTTGTGCATGGTTTCATTGAACATGCTGACTAGTGCCTCATTATTGTCGGATTTTCCAATTTGCATGGTGTGTTCCAAAGAAATTGTCTAAAGACTAGCGAAATTTCATTACTCTACCATAATTCCTTCATACCCAGACCAAAGACTTATTGAACCCCTCGTAGTACAGTCAGGCACAGATAACATGATTGCTCAAAACTTAAATCACGGATAGCTTGTTTGTACAATGTCATTCCCTGACTGAACAGCTATATTTTCTTTGTACTGGCAACATTGCTTTCTCAAACACTCATACGGATTTTCTACCCCAGCTCCACTTTAAGAACATGATCAAACATTTCCTCTAACACCCTGAGCATACAATGTTAAACAACACACCCATTGTTATCAAAAGCATGAGGTTACATAACATGAGCCCACTAGGCTTACTGCGGAAACAGCGTGGTTCTAACACTGCTGGTATCAAGATGCATTATCGCACATTACCTGTAGGCTAGTGTACAAAAGGCACTAGAACTTCCTTGAATCTAACCATATACCGTTATACGCACGGGTGGTGGAGAGTGATTGAAGACAGTGTGACTCTGCATTGGGTCATATGGTGAGTGAATTGTTTGTGTACAGCCTACGTGGTTTTTGAAAGTGAAGGTTTGGATCAGAAAGTACATTACATGAGGAGTGGGTGGCATGCTCTGACCAGCGGTAATCTGGTCTGCTGTAAGAGTCAAAAGTGAAAGCAATTTTTAAAATGTATTTTAGCAGAAGGCTTAACAGCAACATTCTCTTCCTTCGTCTAGCTTCAACATCAAACAAGGGGTATGCACTATACATTCCATCCTTCTCTCTTTTTATCGATACCAAGTGTTTATAAAGATGGCAGAGAAGAAGTTTAACTGTGTGACAATACAAACCAAGTGTCAGGTTTTAGCACACGTTCTATGTTGGAAATTTGTAAGAGATTTGGTATCCTCAATTTAACATTTCAAGCCAACACATACCCAACGACACTTTGTGAGTAAAGCGAAGTCATTTTGTAAAATTTCTTTTTCTATTTGACTGTACATTGGCTTTAAAACTTTTTTAATGACACTTTGAAACTGTTAAATCATTAGACACCGCTTTTAAAAGTTGTAATTTTAGTAGTTACAGTGTTGTCAAGGGTTTCCGGGACTTGCAACCTTTCTTCATTTCGAGTAGAACTTGATCCAGGTCTAAGGAAAAGTCATTTTTCTCAAAACTTTGTTTCAGCACTCTATCTAACAATATTAACCAGATCTCACAAAGTTCTGAAGCTGTCTTAGAAATTTTTAAAGCAAGTTGTTCAGAAATGATTTTTGTACGAGAAAGTGCAATAAATGCAATCCCTCAAAGTGCATCATACTAAATATGTTACATTTCACCAAATACACACACAAATGTTTTGTACTGGAACAATTTTGGATAAAAATTCAGCAAAACAAGAAATAGTGGCATATCATATTTAATATTTTATGCATATCATCTTAAACATAATTTGACAATTTTCATTTTTGTTTCAACATTACAACCGCACACCAACATAGAAGGAAATGGACAGTTCTACATAGACGACATTAAATAACTTCATGAGCAGTGAGAATAAAGAATGAATGGGAAAATTGTTCATATTTAAGTAAAATACGAGGGGGTGCAAACTTATAAGTTTAACAAGTCAAACCTTGTTAAAAAGGATGGTTGGTATTTTAAGTTTGACCGTGGTCCATTATCATAGTGCATTATTGACACTATGTAGACACTGTCCCACCAATAGACTCCACAAAAACATTTTTTAAAATCTCTTCAACGGCCAGATGCAACAACACCAATATATGACAGGTCAGCCTTATCCCATCCACAGCCATTAACAAGAGCTCAAAAACCAGGCCGTCTAAATTTATCTTCCCTGCAATGAAAGTACTTTAAAATTCATGTAAGTATAATAAAACAAGAACTCTTATTTGATTTGAATTAAGCATCTCTATATATGCGAACATCAACTCTAATTCAAAACATAATGCATTGTTGGTGCTTCTAGAAGGCCTTTTTTTTATCTATTCAATAAGAATTTTATGTTTTTTACATCTCGCCAAAGTCAGTGGAATGAACACTCCCAGTGCACACGTATCAGGAGAGAAGGGCAAAGGGTCAAGCGAAAGCAAAATAGAAATTCTCACCTATACGCATCATTCAAATAGAAACTACATAACAACCACTCACACACAGTGGTCCCTCAGAGTTAAGACTTTCCTATCTGTTCACCAAAAAGGTCTGAGAGAGAGGTGGTCTTAATACGGAGGTGAGTAATTTCACTGGAGTCTGCTTAAACAAAACACAGTCAATCTAATAACAGACTCTCCATTTTTTTTCTTCTATTTGATAAACCTCTCTGAACTAAAAAAAAGTAAATCCGGCAGTCCAGCAGATTTCGTTTGAAGTGGACTCCACTGTATATTAAGTCATCCTAAATTAGGCTGTCACAAGGAGGTTGGTCTCAACTCAGAGGAACTGCTGCATGCTTTGGTACTGAGACCCAAGCTCAACTACTTTTTTACATTCTCTCAAACAAAGGACTGAGGTGCCATCGCATAAGATTGTCAAACAAAATGAAGAACTAGGTCACTGCGTGTAGAGGCTGGCCGCAAACACAATGTCTCTCTTCACCATATTCATTGCCTCTTCCATCTTCTGTGCCAGTGTGCGGTCACCGATGAGCCGGGCTGCGTTCCGCACATCACTCATGGTCTCATGAAGTCTCTGTATGGAGCGCACAATAATGCCCTCCTGGACATCGGTCAGAGTTGTGATCTCGGAGAAAGGCTGGCAGGGTAAAAAAAAGAAAACATGTATGTTTTTAAATATGTTTCTCTTTAAATCCAAAGAGTTCCCATTCACCCACTCTAAAAAACCTTTAAAATCATGTACCAGTCTTATATTAAACCCCACTACTATATCCATCCTCGTTCAAAGACAGCTTCAAGACCACTTATCATGTCTCACACCCACTCAAAGACAACATAGTTATAGTCCAGTTGCAACACCATGGATTTACTCAAGGACAACTTACAGATCACCTACCCGCTCAAAGCTGATTTACAGACCACCTACCATGCTCTGCACTCACTAACTAAAAGACAACTCATAGCCCATGCCATCTACCATCTCTCACATCCTTTCAAAGAAAACTTCCCTACAATTCCCATACACTCACTCAAGAAAATCTGCTGCTGTATTCGGAGCCCACTCAAAGACAACTTCTAGACCGTATAGCATGCTTTGTGCCCACTCATAGACAGCATAAGAGATTCCGCACATCCACTCAAAACAAGTTATCGACCACATACCATACTGCCACTCACTCAGTCAAACTTAACATGTTCCACACTCCTTCAAAGACAACATACATATAGACTACCTACCATGCCACGTGCCCACTCAAAGACAACTTCCATCAGACCAAAGTGGAACTGTTCTGTGAACTCTTCCACTGGAGTCTTCATCCCTTCCTCTTTCTGCAGCTGTGCTATCATTTCTCCTTTCTGTAGAATCTGCTCTTTGGCCTAGGGGTTAGAAGACAAATGAGGTCTTCTTATTTAACTCAGTAGAATCTTGTCTCACACCCTTATGTGGCAATCTAGTTTAGCATTGGAGGCACAGATTTTGGACTTCATTGAGATGAATACAGGCATTTGCAATTTTAGTTTAAGTCTCAGCTTGAGTAAATAGAATCATAGTCATTTAGTACTGGGAAAGAGGAAGACAAATAGAAACAACATAGGAGGATTTTTTAAAAGTTGGACTTTCTAGTGGTAACCTCCAACCTCATGCACACATCGTCGCCTGCGTACTATCGTAACCGACAAAAATGGGGTTTCGAGTTACGGAGGTTTAAAGTTTTGCGCAATTTTTCAAATCGTGTTGTGAATACACGGATATCTTATTGATTTTTGGTTTGTATATATAGTCTTTCTGTCACTGCTTCAGAAAATCAATTTAATTGCTTACTTAGTGAACAAGTGACCATTTTTGTCACTTACGTTAGTATGTGAATGCAAAGTATGTAGCGGTACAGTCCCTCACACTAAACAATATGGCGCTTACGATAGTTCTTAAAAGACAAAACAAACTATAAAGTTACAGTAACCTTGTTTTATTTTGAAAGAAAAATGCTTGGTAAGGCATTTTACAGGTACTTACAGGTGCTTGAGTTTCACAAATGGAAGAATCAGTAATATGAACAGCTTTGCAACTTTGAAAATAGATTGAATCGGCAAAAGAACAACATAGACCGGGAGCAAGTTTATGATTTATGCACGTCACTATGCAAGTTTTCGAGAAAGGGATACGGAAAGAGAAAGAAAGAGAGAGAGAGAGAGAGAGAGAAAGGGAGGGAGGGAGGGGAGGGGAGAGAGAGGCGGAGACAAAGGGAAAGAGAAAAAGAGAGAGAGGCGAAGGAGAGAGGGTGGAAGCAAGAGACGGGGGAGGCGGAGACAGAGGGAAAGATAGAGAGAAAGAGAGAAGAAAGAGAGAGAAAGAGGAGAGGAGAGAGAGAGAGGCGAAGAGAGAGAGAGACAGGGAAGGGGGAGGCGGAGACAGAGGGAAAGAGAGAGAGAGAGAGTTTAAAAAGTTTTAGTAAGGCTTTACGGCGCTTGCAACTGCATAAGGTCATATGAGTGCAAAGAGGTGGATGTCAACAGAGAAGTCTACTCCCATATATAAAATAAGATCTGCCCCAACAATTTCCATTTTCAAAAATCAGCTGAAGCATTTTTTATTCACAAAAGCATACCTGTCATAATGATGTACTGTGATATATATA